CCAAGTTGACAAAGGAGAGCCAATTGTGTGGATGATGATTATGCAAGATGGAAAAGTGCTGATAGACTGTGGAAAAATACAAGTCTGAGCCTAACAGCTTTGCAAAGCTGTTTGAAAAAGCAGCTTGGAGCTGTTATCTGGGGCTGCCCAGGGGCAATGTGTAGTAGCAGGGGGAGCAGAGAGAGGTGGGGAGGCTCAGGAAGCTGCTTGGGGTGCTTGGTTTCATGGAGAGCAGGAGGCAGCATCCTGGCAGTTTCCAAGTGGTGGTAGGGGTTTCAAATTATACAACCACCTACTTGAGTTTCAAGTAGGTGGTTGTATAATTTTCATATGTAATACACTTTTAAGATTTTAATTTTTTTTTTTAATTTGCAATTTTCAGTAATCAAAGTAAAGTTTCAGGTGATTGATCAAATAAAGAAAGGAAAACCCAAACATTTCAGCTTCAGGTTAGGGTTGAGTAGACTTTTGCTGACATCAGAAATTTTTAATTGCACCAGCTAAATTACAAAGATGCTATCTGGGCTCTGGGAGCCAAGAACACCATAATTAGGGCTGTTAGATGCCCCATTCTGCTTCCTCACTTTTGACTTTAACCATCAAGGCACCGGATCCAGGTAAAAACGAACTGATTTACGTGGAGGGCTTGGGGTGGTGTCAGGAGCAGCTGAAACAAAAGCCTCAGTTTGTGACTGGTCCTGTCCCATGGAGGAGCCTTAACCAGAATGTGTGGGTTCATTGCATTACTTTGTAGCTGTATATGCTGGGTGCTCATAAAGTGGCTTTCATTGGCATTTATTTTAGAGATTTCAGTGAATTCTAGCAGCCCTTCCTAGTGCTGTTTCAAAGAGCAGCATCAGTCATGGTTTATGTAGGTTTACAAAATTATTTTCAGTTTCTTAAGGTGTTTTCATGTTTTCTTACATGCTGTTGTTTTTTCTAGCTAGAGACTGAGCTGAAGTGATATTTATTAAACAAAGCTCTCTGGGTTTAGGCAGATATGTGGGTTTACACATCCTGCCTTGTCAGAACAGCTTGGGGCACCAGTGTCACCAGCATGCCAGCACTGGAGCTGTACTGCTTGGCTTGTGGCACCCAACATCTATCCAGACACCTGTCTTCAGACCTCAGAACAGCTAATCTTTTTAAATTTACTAACAGATTAGTGAGCTTGAAAATGCAGAGTTGGAATAGTTCATCGTTTCCACCAGAACATAAAGGACCTAAAGCCCAGGATACACAGGAAGGGAAGCCACAGCCATCAATGTATTCAGGTGCATGCTTCTACCTTTGTCCTCAGGCACATGTCCCAGTTCAGAAGGGCACTCAAATATTTTCATAATGCCTTAGATTGCCCAACTGAAGCCAACAGGACTGGCTGGTGGCAGAAAAACTACTTATGATTAACATTAAGCACATTCTTTAGGTGCTGATTAACTGGGGCCTGTGGTAGTTTAAGAATTGTGAGTGCTCAAAAATGAAATGTTTCAGTTCCTATACATTGAAGATGGGACTAGGAGTCAAACAGAAAAAAATTATTGAACTTAATATTTTTTCCTGCCCACTGCCATATCTCCATAAGAAGGAAACAAAACTATTAAACATAGAAAGCATTGGCATTGATGATATTATTACTGTTATGATTGTTATTTTTTATAGCTTCAGAAATAGAAAATAAGTTTGTTGCTACACAGAACTGTGGAAAACAAGAAGTTTATTTTTTTATTCAGTGATTTCATTAACTATTTTGGTGCCTTATTTGTAGACTTACCTAGGAATTGTAAATGCTTTATGTGGTAGGTTTGGAAAGAGAAATAAATATCAGTTATAGGACCTGTTTTCAGAACTGAAATTTAGAAGTAATATGGCTTTTAATATTTTGCCTTGTGATTTTTAATTGCCTACTCTTAATAAAAAAGTGCTTCAAAAAAATCTTTCAATCCTTTTCCAGACTTTCAATTTTCCCCCTAGCATTTCTTGGCATGGGCAGTGCATCTTTCATTCAGTTATGCTGGAAAAGATCTTTCAAAACAGCAAATAAAACTGGTGTGTCAAATTTGCTTGCCTGGCTTTCTCAGATTCAGGAGGTCTCACATTGTGAATTTTATTTTAACATGGATTTCTATTTTGTATTGCACCTTTTATCCAGGTGAAGGCAAATCTGGGAAAAATGTATCTCTTTCCTTTGAATTGTAGCATCACCAACAGTGTAGACTGCAGCATTCCTTTCCAGTCACAAGAGCTGGAGTGTCTGCAGGTTTATCCAATAGCCTTTGGAAAATCTTCTTGGAATTCCTGTAGCTGGGACACTCCTGAGGGTCAGTCAGGGCTGGCTGCAGTGAATTCTCGTGAGCTGGAGAAAAGATGAAGATGTGAAGGGTGATGAAGATGTGGGCCCAGGGCTCCATCCAAGAGGGCCTGTGGCAGGGGCCAGCAGTGTGTTCTGGTGTGTCCCTGTGCCAGCACAGCAGTGTGCCTGAGCACCCCACATTGCCTTTCCTGGCTTGCTGGAGCTGCTGATCTGAGCCTCCCAGCTGGCTCATCCACAGGGATGTGGGAGAAGGGACTGTGCTGACACCTTGGTGAGGCCCTTCCCTGGGAGCAGAGCAGCCAGCAAGTGTCAGAACTCAGTACATCCCTCTGGGTGTCCAGAGTTGCCAAGGACCCTGGCATGCTGCCCAGAACACCTGGGGATTTGATTCTGACCCCTGCAGCAAGTTGCCAGCTTTGTGTGAGGTCATGAAAGTCACACAGGTTTGAACGGTGTAAGAACAAAATGATCACAGGGTGAAAATTTAGATTTTAGGATTTTTGGTATGGGGGCTATGGGGACAAGATGGAGGAATCTGGGTGTGTCCAGCCTTTCTTCTTCTTCTTCTTGTTCTCCATTTTCTGCAGTGCTGTTGGCACTTTGGGATTGGTTTAGAGTAGAGGTGCACTGTCTAACATGGGTGATAGGTATTGGGAATTTAGTGTCAATATGTTATACATAGTTTGCAGTATAAAAGGACAACAGCACCTCAGGGGTGGTCAGAGTGCCTGTGGCTGCCCTGCTGAGCAGAAAGAAAATTTTATAGATAAGAATTAATAAACAACCTCAAGACCAAACAGTGAAGAGTCCAGACTCGTTCTGCAGTTGCCTGGGCTGGAGCAGAGACATCCTGCACATCTCAGGGCAGCAATTATCAACCAAAACCCGAGAATCAAGGAGCAGCTGCCAGCTGTAACCCTTCCTGTGACATGCAGAGGAGGATGTCCCCATGGCCACACTTCATTTGTGGTTCAGCAAATTGTGTTGCTCTTCAAGCTGTGCTCAGTTCCCTAAAAGGCCTTGTACAGGTGTGGGTGAACATAGCACTCCCAAGTAAGGAAAAGCAATTAAAATTATTAAAGCAACGTTAAAAGTCACGCAGGAAGGTGTTTTGTAGTGCTAAGTGGGAAAAAATGAAATGCTTTCCATTTCAAAGCTGACAAAGTTTATGTAGAAAGGCTATAGCAAATCAGTGGTGAAGCTATGAATAAAGTTCAAGCAAACAGAGGTAGTTTGCCTTTCTTTACACAGTTCTCTTATCACAGGTTAAGACAGTTCAGGTTTAAATGCAAATGTTAACTGCTCAGTATATTCATTTGTGAATATAGCTTTCACTGCCCAGCCAGAAACCTCTCTGCAATCTCTTTGTTACAAGTTGGTAAAGCAAACAGAAATGCAACAGGGAGGAGAGTCTGGAGCTCCCAAAATCTGAAGCTGAGGTTATAAATAGCTAGAGAGCTGCCAGGTGATGAGCCCTTAACCTTTTGCAAATGACCTGTGATATATATATATATATACATACATACATATATATATATATATACACATACATACATATATATATACATACATATATATTTTTTTTTCTTTTTTTTTTTTTTTTTTTTTTTTTTTTACATTTCCAGCAATAGTTATCCAGTGGACTGAAATGTCTTCACAGAGCTCCTTCCAGGATAATATTTCAGTCCCAGCTTCATTGTTCTTGGAGATGGAGCACTTGTAAGCCAGTACATAAATCTCTTCCTTGAGCAGCTTACTTTTACAGGCATTTTACAAGTTGGAGCATCTGGCTCCATTTTTAGATCATTTTGATTGTTTCTGTTCTAACACTCAAATTGATTCAGGCAAGGTCTTTGGTTGGTTGGTTGGTTGGTTTTTTTGGTTAGTTGGTTTTGGTTTTGTTTTGTTGGTGTTTTGTTTGTCCTAAACTTCCAGTGAGACATTTCTCATTTACTGGAAAATGTTGAAGCTATCACATGCTGGAAGAAGGTAGTCCTGAATAGTTGCTCTTCTTGAAAAGGGCACTGAGGCTCAGGAAGGTTATTTGCCATCTGAAGGACTGAGCTTGTAGTTGCTATAGTTCTTTGAGGCTGGTGATACTGTTGGTGGTAGAACCAGGTCTGTGGAACACCCAGGTACAAAAGGTTGCTTCAGGGTGAATTTTTTTTTCCTTGCATTTAAGTTCCACCTCTGTGTTACAGCTTAGCAAGTCAGTGCTGTGCCTGCTTGGAGATCACACAATCACAGAATGATTTGGGGTGGAAGAGACCTTAAAGCTCATCTTGTTCCAGCCCCCTGCCATGGGCAGGGACACCTTCCACTATCCCAGGTGGCTCAGAGCCCCATCCAGCCTGGCCTTGGACACTTTCCAGGGATGTGGCAGCCACAGCTTCCCTGGACAGCCTGTGCCAAGGCCTGCCCACCCCCCAGGAAAAAATTCCCTGGTAATATCCCTTCATGCCAGTGCTTTCCCCTGCTCTGGGGACACAGATTTCAGACAGAGAAGACACACATTTCAGCTGAGTCAGGAAGAGCTGTGTCACTGGTGCCTTGGCTTGGTGACAGCGTGCCCTGGCCTTTCTGGCAACCACAAGTGGGCTAAGGGTTGTAGAAATAATACAGTCTTCCTTTTGAACGATGTCTTGTCTTTTGACCCTTGTTTTCTCCCTCTGCTGTGCTTTTTCTCCAGCTGGGATGACAGCAGCTCTGTCAGCAGTGGGATCAGTGACACCATAGACAATCTCAGTACTGATGACATTAACACCAGCTCCTCCATCAGCTCCTATGCCAACACTCCTGCCTCCTCCCGCAAGAACTTAGATGCACAGGTAAGAGCTTTGCTTTATTCAGCTAACCTTGATATTTGTTATTTTCTCTGTGCAGGAGGTGTAATTGCTTTATGTGACCGTGTTCACAGGGATTCTTGGTTGAGGGAAGAGATGAGGATCTGACTCCATGTTTCAGAAGGCTGATTTATTATTTTATGGTATATATTACATTCAAACTATACTAAAAGAATAGGAGAAAGGATTTAATCAGAAGGCTGGATAAGAATAGAATAGGAAAGAATGGTAACAAATGTTTGTGGCTCGGGCTCTCTGTCCGAGCCAGCTGGGCTGTGATTGGCCATTAATTAGAAATAACCACATGAGACCAATCACATACCCACCTGTTGCATTCCACAGCAGCAGATAACCATTGGTTACATTTTGTTCCTGAGACCTCTCAGCTTCTCAGGAGGAAAAACCCTAAGGAAAGGATTTTCCATAAAAGATGTCTGCGACAGTTTTAGGTTGCTGAACTTGAACACACAGCCAGCCTTCTGTATAGACAGTGTCAGTAATAACCACCTTGTCATCCATGGCATTTGCAAATATTTCCTCTGTGGGTGGAACCCAAGGCATCTCTGCCATGGTGATGTCACAACAATTGGGTCTTGTCTTCCTAGAGGCACTGCTGCACGGAAAACAGATGTAAATGGGATTTTATAGAGATATTTTTGAAATATCTATATAAATATATAGAATGAAATGGTATTATGTTTTTCATATAGAATATGAAATGGTATGACATTTTTGTTTTAAATAATAGAATACAATAAAGTAAACATCAAAGTTCAAAGGTTCTTTACGCTTTCATCAGAAATGTAAGCATGTTATGCAAATGAAATTGATTTTATTAAATATCCAGAGCTGTGTGTTATTGAAGGCTTTCTGTGGCTGCCAGCATTTCGTAGGAGGATAAACTTTGCCTCCATCAGCAGGGGATACATGTACACTTTGTGCTCAGACACCACACATCCAAAGAGGGTGGAACAAGTGAAGGCATCTAGCAGTTTTTGATTGATCAAACAAACTGCATAATACAGAGATTTGCACTAATACAAACTGCATTTTTTCTTTTTTTACCAATTCCATAGATTTTTGTTTGGGAAAGTGCAGGACTAAAAAGTCCAGCTTTGTTCTGGTCCTGCTCGAGGGACTGGGGCGCTGTGTGCTGCAGCCACTGGGATGTGGTGACCTGGCAGTGCTGCAGGTACAGGAGAGGGATCTCGGTGTGACCTGCTCCTCTGTTCCTTCCCTCTTCTAATCTTCTCCAGTCCTTTTCATCAGTGCCTCCTAAACCTGTTTTTGACATCAGTTTTGGTGGAGACCTGTGGTTGCTGTGAAGTATGGCTCTGTCTCCAGAGCTGTGGTGCAAGCACAGAGCAGTCTTTGTTCCCTTGCCATGCAGTGCATATTTGAGCCTGCACAAAGGGTTTCCAGGTAGCCTCTGTTTGCCTATCAGCGACTGCACAGGCACTTGGAACTGCTAATACAAGTCCCATACAAGCTGAGAGGAGTTAAGATCCATCAAGCATGTTTTTCAGAGTAAGATGGGCAACTGGAAGTATTTTTTGACAATTGTTACTGTCTCAACATTGTAATACTGTTGGGGGGGAAAAAAAAGGAAGACTTAGGGAGATGTGACTAAACATTGACCTAAGGAAAAAAAATAGAAACTCATGTGACTTCTATCTTCTGATGGATCAGATTCTTGGAAACACCTCTGAGAGATCAAAATCTGTGTTGACAAACTCCTCTTCCTCCTCCACAACTATTACAGTATCCAAGAGGGTGCAGACAGACACCAGAAGAAAAGCAGCTGGAGCTTGTTCAGGCAGTAGAGCATAGTTATTGGCAAACTGGGAGCCAAGAATGTGCAAGTGGTGTTTGCAGTTTTTTGGTGTGCTGTGTGTCTCTGACCTGCTTCTCTCCTCAGTTTTCATGAATGACAATCCTTATTCCAGGTCTTCTGTTATCTGCAAATTATTGCCCATAAAATAGTTCATTTTCGTGGAACAAACTACCTGAATCTCGTCAGCCAAGGGAATGAAAAGAGCTTGGAGTGCTGAAATGCGTGGCTTGCAGGGTTAATTTTTTGCTGCCCATTGTAGACCTCAGAGCTCGTGATGCAGTGAATGCTGCAGAGACACCTTTTCTGTCTCTCCTGAAGGACTCTGTGATGGCCAGTGCCCAGGTTTTCCTTCCCCAGGAAGGAAAGCCACAAAGCCACAAAGGACTAGCACACATTTGTAGAGGGATGTGGACTTTTCTTCTGAGGGTGTCCTTTGCTTTGGTTCTCCTAAACAGTAGGTGCTTTTGAGCTGTTGTGATTCTGTCACATCTCTTTGAGAGGGTACAGGAGTTGGATTTCAGTTAATTAAGGAGGGAGCTTGAAGCTAATACATGTGCAGCTGGGAGTCCAAGCAAATAATGCAGCAACATCAAAGGGAGAGAGTCTGAACATGTCAGTGTGTGCTGATAAAATCAGTAACTCAGGCAGAATCATCTCTGCAAAGAAAGGCATAGTTGCAGTAGGAAAAATCTCCGTTGAGATTTCCCTCTGATTTTCAGGGCTGATGAGTACCCCATACTCCAGAAGCTGCAGTTTCCCCATCTTTGAGAAACAGGACTTAAATATGATATTAACTCCATCTTCAGAGACATTCATAGCTGCATCCTCTTCATAGCAATGCAGTGAAGATGTTTGCAAGTTGTTTCTGAACAAGCTAGTGATGGGAACCAGAATTTGCCATGCCACATTCCCATGTCCTGCTGTGATTATGCCAAGTACCAAACCACTTTAATGTAGTTACAGGAGTTTTGGCACCCTAGTATTTTTCCTTTTTATTGCACAGAATTAAGTTACCTTTATCACAGTACTACGTATAGGTGTGCCTTTAAAGTCACATCATATGCATTCTTTTAAGAGAAATTAAGACCTGGTGGGCATTTGAAAATAACTTATTTAACTGAAATAAGATGGGAGAAGGACACCAAGTAACAAATTCAATCATGAGATTGTAGAAAGACTGGAAGATAGAAAGGTTCCTTTAAATAGAAAACTGCAGCATCCCTAAGCAGTTGGATAAGACATCTTCTCAGGAAAGATGGGTTTGATCTGTTCACAGCTTCAGATTTACAAAAACTTTATGAGTGAGTTGAGAAATCCTGGTGGTTTGCTCCTAGCTGAGGCTTTGCTCTCAGCTTGTGCTCGCTGTGTCTTGCCATGACCTCCAGCCGGGAGTATTTCCACTTTCACCCTCCTGGGTGGGTGGAGTTTCAGCTGCAATCCCCAAGCCAGGTTTCACTGTGTTTTGGTTTTGATTCCTTAGTCATGTTTCTGTGCTGTTCTCAGTGTTTACCATTAAACAGAAACATCTCTGGCCAGAGGGTTTCAGAGGTGGAGGTGCAGCATTTCAAAGGCTGCAGGAAAGCTTTGGCTGTGGGTGTAGCAGTAGAATGAAAGGCAGGAGGGCAAAGGTAGAGAGGACTTCTTGCAGTGCTGTTCTCTCTCTGGAGACTGGCTGTACTAACCTTGCAGATTAGGGGAGGGGAAATAGAAGGTACAGGAATATTTCCTAGTCAACCAAAACTAAAATAAGGCCTTTGCTAGCAGGTAGGTGTATTTCTTGTTCTTGAACACTAGCAGTGCATACACACAATTCCAGACAAGGAGCTTGGAACAAGATACTGAAGTGACCACGTGAGGAATGGTGTCTTTGAGGTGGCTTTGCTGGTTGATTATTGGGTACTTTTTGCCTGTGCTCTCTTCCAAGATTTGTGAATGTAGGAGCTGTTTGCATGAAATGGTGATTTTGGAGAGGCACAAGACGTAGGAACAGTCACACTGTGAATTTATTGCACACCTACTGATGGTCAGAAATAGAAAGGTGACCCACCAGCCCCAAACCTGGCAGGCACAGGAAGAGAAGGGAGTTAGAAAGCAGAGATCCACTCAAGCCTACACTGGGTTGCCCTCTTTGAATGGAGAGGTAGGGAAACAACATTTGCGTAGCACAAGGAAAATACAAGAATATAATATTACCTAAATCCATAATTCAAAATGCATGTTAGTCTAATGACTCAATATGTAGATAAATAACTCAAGCCCTGTTTCCTGACTGAAGAAAGACCGTTGTGATATGTGGTGTCAGCTTTCACACACTGATCGCTTAACTAGTTTTTCAGGCTTTAAAAAAAATTAGTTACAGTAAAAAGCAGAGGAAATTCAACCACAGTTCCCCTGAATTCTTTAATATTAATGGTGTGATCTGATAGGTAAAGGAAAGTCATAAACTTCAAACATTCTTTAGGAACTTAAAAGCTGAAAAGCGTGGTAAATAATCCTACAGCTTCTCCTGTGCTGTGTTTTTCTGATTTTCCAAAAGGAATAAAGGCTGTGAGCTTTATAATGCTTTGGGATATTTAAAATAATTTCCTTTTAAATAAATTATTCCTTTTGCCTACCACACAGTTCTGAGCACATTCACCTTCTGCTGAGGCTGCAGGGCAGAAGGCTGGCATCAAACCTCACCAAAACCCATCAGGCTGTACTTGGGAACTGCAGTCAGGTGCTGAATTGTCAGTCTCTTTCATGGTGCTGTGGTGCTTGGAGAACACTTCAGCTATGAATTTTTCATCCTGATCAGAGTCAACTGTGTGGATATTTGTCATTGCCTGATGACAAAATGGTTGGTTGTTGTGTTACCATATTCACCAAATTTAATCAACGGCATTTGACAGGAGTAGAATTCTAGAAGAGTAATCCTTAGCAGTGGGGAATATTAATGCATGGGGAATGTATAAAGTATACACATATATGTAGGGTAATATATTTAATTTAGGTATTTCTGACATTTTGGCAAAGGTTTGCTAATGAGAAATTTTTGTATTTAATATTGAGCTTAGCAAAATTCTCCATAAGAGACTGGTAACACTATCAATCTGTGCAAAGAGTAGGGGAAAAACAGTCTGCAAGAGAAACTAAAGTAATTTATGTATTGAAGTCAGTCTCAAGTATTGTTAGAAAGTTTTTCTTCAGTCCTTGGGTGTCCTTCTACCATGTTAGGTTAGAATTAAGAGCATTCCACATATTCGGATCTGTTCCAAAAGCTGCCTCCTCATGCTCTGGAGATCAGATTGCCAGACAAGAGATAAGAAAGCAGCAGGAACAAAGGAAGGCTGGCTGCACAGGTTTGAAATGCTTTTTTGGCATTGCAGTAAAAGGGTTTGTCAGAAATTTGAGATGGAGGATTATAAATGTCATGGAGCTGAATATGTCCTTTATACATCAAGTAGGGTTTTTTTCCCCTTTATTTATTCCAAGGAGCGTGGCTGTTGTGTTTTTTTGTATTTTTCTTATAAAGCATATTCAAAAAATATTGCTTTATAAGGGTTAATTTTTTGCTGTGACATTTCTTCATCAAAAGCATGTAATGTGTGTTGGTACTCAGAGATGACTGCTGAGCTGATTAATCAGGGTGATGGTTCCTACTTACAAAGCTTCTTAAAAGAAAGACTTGCTCTGAAAGTTGCCTTGCAATTCCTTATCTGTCCTAGACCGACGCAGAGAAGCATTCCCAGGTGGAGCGGAATTCCTTGTGGTCGGGTGATGAAGTCAAGAAATCCGATGGGGGATCTGATAGCGGCATAAAAATGGAGCCGGGGTCCAAATGGAGGCGGAACCCCTCTGATGTGTCGGATGAGTCTGATAAAAGCACTTCTGGTAGGAAGAACACTGTTATTGCCCAGACGGGCTCCTGGCGACGGGGCATGTCAGCTCAGGTTGGCATTACCACACCAAGGCCCAAACCTTCAACCACCTCAGGCACGTTAAAGACACCTGGAACAGGTGAGAAAAGGCGTGAGATGTAAACAAGCCAAAAATGTGTTCGGTGTGAAAACAGTTTTAAGTACTTTGCACAGGCAGAACTTGAACTTCAGGTAATCCTGTCTGTATTTTTAGGCATTGCTTTAACCTAAGCAGCATCTTGTAGGTCCACATTTCTATTTCTGTCTGAAAATGTGTATTTCGAATTAGTACACCCTGCCAGTTGTTTTCATGAAAAACTCTGGTCTTAAGCCAAACTATTTATTTGGCACAGTATTGCTGTGTGAAGAATAAATAATATAATTTTTTATATTAAAATCACTGGTTTTGAAAATCACTGTTAACCAAGAGCATACAATATATATGGTTGAGGAGATTTCCCCCTGCCCCCCTTACTAAACAAGCATGTTTGTTTATACTAAACATGATTTCTGAATTTTCTTTTAAGTGTATTAATGATTTTAGCACTTGCAGATGTGTGAATGAAAATTGATTGAATTTGCATAATCAAGCAATATAATTTAATATCTCTCTTTTTATTAGGTCTTGTACACAATTGTATATCAAAAAGTTAACGTTATATACTGTTTTGAACAATACAAATGCTTTAACAATGCCTTTTAGGGAAATTATACTATCAACCTAACACTACTAGTGCGTAATGATAGCAATGATCGATCTGTGGTAGCTACAGAGAGAAACTTTTTTTTCTTATCTGTCACTATTATGTGAGGCTGTTCTGCTTTTCATATTCTCAAAGGCAAAGGCACCACATACTTTCTTTGGCAAGTCTGCATGTGTAACTCACTAGAGTGGCATGTAAGCTCAGTGCAGACTGGATCATAACTTTGAACCGCACTGCAGTGGCTAACACGCTTTTGCTTTTCATGCTGCTTTGAGTTTCATCATTTGCTTGATGTTTTCAAGTCATTAAATATTAGAATTCTTTTTCTATTTTTGTAGGGAAAACTGATGACGCCAAGGTATCAGAAAAGGGTAGACTATCTCCTAAAGCTGGACATGTTAAACGTTCCCCATCAGATGCAGGACGCAGCAGTGGTGATGAATCCAAAAAGCTTCCCACAAGTAACTCTAGGACAGCTGCTGCTAATGCTAATACATTTGGATTTAAGAAACAGAGCGGGTCAGCCGTAGGCATGACCATAATCACTGCCAGTGGGGCAACTCTCACCAGTAGATCGGCTACCTTGGGAAAGATCCCCAAGTCATCTGGACTCATGGGTAGGACCACTGGTCGGAAGACTAGTGTTGATGGCTCCCAGAACCAGGATGATGGCTACTTAGCACTTAGTGCACGAACTAATCTTCAGTACCGTAGCTTACCCCGGCCCAGTAAATCCAGTAGCAGAAGTGGAGCTGGGAATAGATCTAGCACGAGTAGCATAGACTCCAACATAAGCAGCAAGTCAGCTGGGCTGCCTGTCCCTAAAATCAGAGAGCCTGCCAAGGTAATCCTTGGAAGCTCTCTGCCAGGATTAGTCAATCAGACTGATAAAGAGAAAGGGATTTCGTCTGACAACGAAAGCGTGGCTTCATGTAATTCTGTTAAAGTGAACCCTGCATCACAGCCTGCTGCTAGCGGAGCTCAGAGTACCCACCAGCAAGGAGTCAAGTACCCCGATGTGGCCTCTCCCACCCTGCGCAGGTAGGCAACAAATTCCTCGCTTCTGCAGTGGTGTTAGTGGGAGCTCAATGAGCAGCACTCTGCCAGCCAGGCCCGGCTGGCTTCGGTGCAGCACTTTCTATGTAGTGTCCTACTTCAGGGTCTTGGTATTTACATTTAATTTCACATAAACAGCTTGGCCAGTGTTGTGGATACGTAGGGCGTCACGCGACAGCAGCAGAAGTCTAACATTCCAGAAAAAAACCAAACCTGTCTGGCAGAAGCTTTGGCAATTACAATCTGAGTCACCTTGTTGCAGAAGCCATACCTGGAGGCTTTCATCTGTGCAGATATCACAGATATAAGAATTTTCTTACCTGAAGGTTACTGAAGAGTTCTTGCACAGATGTATATGTAACAAACCTGGAAATATTCCAGTCGTGGATCGAATAAACCAACAACTGGAGGGTTATCTCAGATTTTCATGATGACAGTGGCATTGACCTGCCAGACTTAGATTCACCCAAAGCAAACTATTATAGCTTGTGTGGATTAGCCCAGTATGTTGCAAGACTCAACATTTTAGCCTGTGAAGAAGAACCCTAAATAAAATTACTGTCTAAGCTGGGTTAAATTTTCTTATTTAATACTATTTTTTGGACAAAAATCCTCTCTGTCTTCTGTTTCTCCAAGAGTACCCCCCACACTAACATTAACAAATAGTTAGTGAGGAGCTAATTGTTGATGCAGTGTATATCAGAGCCTTGATATTGGTGAAAAGTTCTGTTAATATTATTTTTCAACTGAATTTGAGTAGCTTGTGTGTTTCAAGTTGCAGTGTTTTGCATTTCATTTTGTCGTGACGCCCATAATACCCATACAGTTATGCTCCATCATCCTGCTTCCAGTGATGTGAGAAAGCCACATTCCATCTGAAGCACCAGTGCAAGCATAATGGCTGTGATGGCAGCTTAGGCTGATGCTGTAAACTGCTTTTAGATGGGTGGTTTTATTTGAAGAGTCTGTGTGAGGATAATTGAAGATACTTTATTTTGTACCTGGTTAACAATAGATAAGCCATGTACTTTGGAACATGTAATTTTCATCAATGGCTACTTAAAACCTCCAGTAGCCCTTTCACTTCTATAGGATACACAATGAGAAATGCAGATTTTCAGTGTTTTCAGTGATTTCAGTGTGCCTCAGGAATGTGATTGGGAATTTTTTATTACTAAAAAGCTGCATTGCTGGCTGTGTAATTGAAATGCTACGTTAGAAATACATGAAACTTCAAAGAGCAGACACTGAGGCTCAATTTAACTATTCTTCCATTTGATTTACAATTTCACACTTGAATTTTCACCAGCCTGTCAAAGTTGTCATGTGTTGAGATGCATCAGAGTTGAATTGGGCCTCGTCTGCTTATTACTGATTTCTAGGATGACAGTAAAGAAGATTTTGAGCTTAATTTTTGTAGTTGAGTTGCAGACATTGTTTTTTGCATATTTCCTCTTGGCCCTGTATATTTTTTTTTGGTGTTACACACTGAATTGGAATCCATACCTTTGTAATGGTACAGATTTACCTATAAGTTCACTAATATATATAACTTCCATGTTGTCATACATAAGGGGGCAGCTGAAAAACAGTTTATCAAACTGTTGTGTGGGTATTTGGAGTTTTTTGAGCTCTGGGATGCTTTCTTCAAGAGTGGTTTCCCCAGTGCAGCTGAAGAGGTTGTATGCTCTGGCACAGGAATCACCTTGGGGAATGCCCTAAGCTGGTATATGGAATCATGGACTGGTTTGGGTCAGAAGGGACCCTGAAAATCATTTTATTCTGATTCCCCTGCCATGGGCAGAGAGACCTTCCACTATCCCAGCTCGTTCAAAGCCCCACCCAGCCTGGCTTTGAACACTTCCAGAGGTGGGGCAGCCTCAGTGTGCCAAGGCCTCACCGCCCTCACAAGGAAGAATTTCTTCCTTATGTCTGATCTAAACCTGCCCTCTCAGTTGGAAGTGTTGTCCAGGTGCCTCGTGGCAAGTATGTAGCAGCAGCTGCCCAGCTCAGGTGTGTTTCATGCCCTGGAGCTGCAGGAAGCACCTGTGCAGCCTGGACACTGCTGCTGGGCCATTCACAGCATTCATTCCACCACTGCTGGCAGAAGCTGGGCCCTAGCAAGGCTTCCTACTGCTGCTGCCTAAAACTCTGGTGAGGAAGCCTCTTGACTACTTAAACCCAAAAATAAGTCCTTGGAGAGGAAGGGAAACAGATCAGCTTCTCCTCCCGAGCTCTGGGAATGAGAAGCAACATCAGCTCGATGGTTTCACAGCTCCTATGTGTCCACTCTTCCCTCTCCCTGCTATAGCTGGGCAACAGGAGCTCTTTCTTTGAAAATGTGGGCTTGCTCCAGGTGCTGCAGGTGCCCAGCTCTAGCACAGCCTGTGTTTCTGGGAAGTGATGGACAGAGGGACTTAGTGTCCAGGTGTCCCAACAACCTGGACATGCTCCAAAGCAGAGAAAGTTCTGCCTGGAGCACGCCCACCCCTAAGGCTTCAGGAGCACTTGTGTCTAAGTGCTGTAGTCCTCTATTCTGAAAGGTTTCATCCACAGTGAATGATAGAAAAGCAAATCTGTGCAGGTATGTGTGAGGAAAACCAAGGTTCCAAAGGTAGTTACAGGAGCCAAGAGGCAGAAACAAAAGCAGTGTTTTGGGGTGGAGTTTGAAGCTGGAGTGGAAGATACTCTTCCTTCCTAATTTTGAAGATCAGTTTTGGAATGATTGATTAGTTTACTACTGAGGCACTTGGGCACTTCTGAGAAGTTTCCCACTGACTGTTTTTGAGGGAATGGGGGTCTTTGCTTCCTTGGCAGTGAGCTGCATCGCAGGCAGCAGTGATGCTGTGGTCAGCCTCCTCCATCTCCTCCCTCCTCAACTTCTGGAACTCACCTAGCTTTTTACTAGCCAATTCCAGGTGCCAAAAAGCATCACATTCTCCACTAAAAAATACCGTTTCCAGCCAGCTTGGAATGAAGCAAGCCTACATTTGGTATGAGTACTTTGTTGCATCCCAGGAAAAGCTGCTTCTGTGCAGAGCATTTGGTGATTTGTGCAGAATTTACCCGGTCAGCAAGCTTCCAATCTCTAGTATTCCATACATCAGATTGTTTCTCTGGTGTCCTTTTTCTTTAAGGAATAGAAGAGGATGTGGTTATATCTTAGTTCTGTGGAGCTGTATTTTAGCTTTGTGGAAGTATTGGTTGGTGATTCAAAGGTGACACACCTGAGATAGATTTGGAGCTGTTGTAGTTGCCTCTGGGCTTTGTTGAAAGGGACAGTGAACACAAGGAGATTATAAATGTATAGTTGCATATGTACAGTCTAGGATCAGGTACTCAGTACTGGTTTTCTGAAGCTAAGATGAAATATAAGATATCCTTGTGTTTACTGTTCCATTTTATGTATTTTTCATGCTGTCTTCTTTTTTACAGACTTTTTGGTGGCAAGCCTAGTAAACAAGTTCCCATCACAACAGCTGAAAATATGAAAAACTCAGTAGTCATCTCCAACCCTCATGCTACCATGAACCAGCAGGGTAACCTTGACTCCCCATCTGGCAGTGGTGTGCTGAGCAGTGGGGGCAGCAGTCCCCTCTATGGTAAAAACACAGATCTCAACCAGTCTCCACTGGCTTCCAGCCCCAGCTCTGCACACTCAGCTCCTTCCAACAGCTTGACATGGGGTACCAACGCCAGTAGTTCTTCTGCAGTTAGCAAGGATGGCATGGGATACCAGTCTGTCAGCAGCCTTCACACCAGCTGTGAGTCCATAGACATCTCCCTGAGCAGTGGAGGTGGGCTGAGCCACAACTCCTCCAGTGGCTTGATTCCAGCCTCCAAGGATGATTCCCTGACTCCCTTCGTCCGAACCAACAGTGTTAAGACCACGTTGTCTGAAAGGTTAGTGGGTTTTTCTCTTCTTTCCATATGTTTGTATCTCGAGTGGGAATGAAGTCCTGGCAGCAGTAGCCAATGCTGCAGATACAGATCAAGTAATGCCTCTTAGCAGGCAGTGCAGACTAGAACATACAGATAAGTTATTCCCAGAAAGGAGCCCAGGTCAGAGCAGGAGGATGGGTTCAGAACAGGTTTTTGTTTTGCTGTCGCAGCCAATGTGACAACTTTTTTTCACTACCAGATCCTTCCAAAGATCTACTGTTAATTGAGCTGGTAGTGGTATTTTTAAAAACCCTCCAATTTTGATTTGAAAAGTCAACCATTTCCTGTTAAGCTTTTTGATTGTAGAATTTGATGACTTTCAAACTGGAGGTGATGCTGAAAAGACAAGTCCCCATCTCTGTAGTCACTTGATCCCTTCTCATCCTCTCCCTGCTGTGTTGTCCTATCTCCAGTTGTTCACTACAATATTTCAGCACAAGCATTCGTGTGAATGCTTAGTGAATCCTATTGGAAGCTGGATCTGAGTGAAAAACAATCAGCTGAATTGTATTTCAGACTGATCACTTCCCCAGCTCTGTGTACAATGAGATTCACTGGTACCTGTGTGGACACAGGGTAGGACCTGGGAGGAGGCTGAGCAGGAAGGAGGGAACAGGGATTTTCCAGTATCAGAGCTGGATTGGTGGCACACTGAGCTGAAGCTGACACTGGGGTGAGCTCTACAGGTCTCTGAGGGACCTCTTGTAGGTGCAAGCAGAACCCTTCCAAGCACTGGATTTCAGCTATGTCCTGACCAGTAGTGATGAGTTTGGGTAGCAAGACGTTTGTAGCTGCGTCTCAATGGAGAAAATTGCACCTGAATGTAATGTTCTGACAGTTTGGGGTTCTGTTTGTGTTTTATTATAATTCCTTTTTGTTCCTTCATCTTTTCATTCTAATAGTCCTTCTCTTGTTTTCTGTCTTGTTGGACTGCTCTTTCTAGCCCTCTTTCTTCCCCTGCTGCTAGCCCCAAATTCTGCCGAAATACTTTGCCCAGGAGACAGGACAGGTAATGCTGTCTCAGGACAGGAGTATGCTCAAGGCTGCAGGTTTTGTTGCCCATCTCAGTGAAGCAAATTGTTTTGTGCCAGACTGTGCTCAGTTGAGTGCTCTGTTGTGTTCATCATCCAGGTGTGAACTGACACAAAGACATGCCAGTGAGAGTCCCTGCAAACACCCATCTCCCCACCCAAATCAATTTGGAGAGTGGCATACAGCACAGTTGGCATGTTTTTGGTGTTGCTCTCATTTCTGGGAATGCCCTTTGGTTTGGGGGGCTATTTTTAACCCACCCTTCATATCTTTGCCAAAGGCAATTTGAAACTCGTGCCCTTTTTTTTTTTTTTTTTTTTTTCCCTGCAAATCTAAACTCTCACTAGCATTTCAGCATTCCTCTGGCATGCTGCTTTTCCCACTGCCTTTCTGGCCTGTCCCTTTTGTTGTGAAGTCCCTGTGTCATTCAGTGTCGTCAGTCTCTTACTGCAGCTTGGCTCATGAGTGTTTTCCAAGTACTTTGGTACCTTACAGTCATCCTTGTACAAATGAATGTTAAAATTGGGAAAAGATGACACAAATCTAAACATTCAAGCTCACCTTTTCTCACTGATGTCATTTTTATCCTAGTCCCATACTGTAACTTAGCTATAAGGGTTGTGTAATTTAATTCATTTACTTACCACAGGGGTATTTTCTTTAAAAACAAATTAACAAGCTCTGCTCATCAGTTGTAAAAACATAAACTGAAATAGTTGAGTTTTGGGCAACTGATCGGTCTATTATACTTTGCTAATGGAACTTAGGCTAAGATTTGGAAATTCAAACAGTCTGGGCTCAATACCTCTTTACAGTAATTAGGTGCATTCCCTAAAGGGTGTCTGCTGAAAGAAATGATGGGAAGGTGGTTTGGACTTGAATATTCCCATGAGGTTTTACCAATAGCCTGCTGAAAAGTGTATTTTTAAACACCCATTTGATGTCTAAAGAGCCATTTTTGTTCATTGTGGCTAGGAGAAACAGTGAAGTGAGGTTGTGAAGAGATGTGGTTCACTGGCATGGTAGCAGCTGCATGTTTGTGCAAACCCCACCTGGTGAGGAGGTCTGTGCATGTTTCTGTAGGGAGGCCCCAGCACCTTTTCCTCTGAAAAGGTGATGCAGATGTTTGTGCGTCCTTCGTCCTGATCTGATTCCTTCCCTTTTGTTCTTCTCTGAAGTTCTTTTCTTTTAACTTTTCTGCAGCGACCCACATCTTGATAGGAACACTTTGCCTAAGAAGGGACTCAGGTATTGGTGTTTCCACGTGGTTTAACATCTTCTGTGGTGGCTTTGGAGTTTGCTTTGTGTTTCTGTTGTGGCTGGTGGTGATGGTCGCAGTTTGCAAGAGGTGGCAACAATGCTCTTCCCTTCTCCTTCCCTTCTCCTTCCCTTCTCCTTCCCTTCTCCTTCCCTTCTCCTTCCCTTCTCCTTCCCTTCTCCTTCCCTTCTCCTTCCCTTCTCCTTCCCTTCTCCTTCCCTTCTCCTTCCCTTCTCCTTCCCTTCTCCTTCCCTTCTCCTTCCCTTCTCCTTCCCTTCTCCTTCCCTTCTCCTTCCCTTCTCCTTCCCTTCTCCTTCCCTTCTCCTTCCCTTCTCCTTCCCTTCTCCTTCCCTTCTCCTTCCCTTCTCCTTCCCTTCTCCTTCCCTTCTCCTTCCCTTCTCCTTCCCTTCTCCTTCCCTTCTCCTTCCCTTCTCCTTCCCTTCTCCTTCCCTTCTCCTTCCCTTCTCCTTCCCTTCTCCTTCCCTTCTCCTTCCCTTCTCCTTCCCTTCTCCTTCCCTTCTCCTTCCCTTCTCCTTCCCTTCTCCTTCCCTTCTCCTTCCCTTCTCCTTCCCTTCTCCTTCCCTTCTCCTTCCCTTCTCCTTCCCTTCTCCTTCCCTTCTCCTTCCCTTCTCCTTCCCTTCTCCTTCCCTTCTCCTTCCCTTCTCCTTCCCTTCTCCTTCCCTTCTCCTTCCCTTCTCCTTCCCTTCTCCTTCCCTTCTCCTTCCCTTCTCCTTCCCTTCTCCTTCCCTTCTCCTTCCCTTCTCCTTCCCTTCTCCTTCCCTTCTCCTTCCCTTCTCCTTCCCTTCTCCTTCCCTTCTCCTTCCCTTCTCCTTCCCTTCTCCTTCCCTTCTCCTTCCCTTCTCCTTCCCTTCTCCTTCCCTTCTCCTTCCCTTCTCCTTCCCTTCTCCTTCCCTTCTCCTTCCCTTCTCCTTCCCTTCTCCTTCCCTTCTCCTTCCCTTCTCCTTCCCTTCTTCCTTTTCCCTTTTTTCTCCCGTTCTTCTCCCGTTCTTCTCCCGTTCTTCTCCCGTTCTTCTCCCTCTCTTCTCCCTCTCTTCTCCCTCTCTTCTCCCTCTCTTCTCCCTCTCTTCTCCCTCTCTTCTCCCTCTCTTCTCCCTCTCTTCTCCCTCTCTACCTCCCTCTCTACCTCCCTCTCTACCTCCCTTTTTCTTCCCTTTTTCTTCCCTTTTTCTTCCCTTTTTCTTCCCTTTTGCTTCCCTTTTGCTTCCCTTTTGCTTCCCTTTTGCTTCCCTTTTGCTTCCCTCTTGCTTCCCTCTTGCTTCCCTTTTTGCTTCCCTTTTTGCTTCCCTTTTTGCTTCCTTCTTTCTTGCTTTCTTTCAATCCTCAAAGAAAGCCATTGACAACTGAGCTTTTTTCATCCAGTGGCCCCACTGCTTGAGCAAGAACTGTGGCTTTTGCTGGCTTAATTGCTGGAAAGCATCTCAAACCATCCCTGGGCTTGATTTAAAAACAGAAATGTTGTTGTTTCTGTGGATATTACATGGAATGACCTGAAATAGTTTTTTTAACCTTGAGAACCTTGTGTTGTGATATAAATAGAAAAGATTTACAAGATAACACCAAAACTTTCAGGATTAAATTGGACATATTAAATTTTTTTTAAAAATGCATCATAATACCTTAATCTATATATTATAATTTATAATCTATTTAATCTATACCTTATTCTCTACTCTCATAGAAAATAACAAAAAAAATCATCAAATGTACTTTAAGCTGTTGTCTTCTCACATATTTTGTACATCTGTGAGGTAGTGATTTTTATAACATACTTTTTTTTCCCCCATTGATACAAGCAATTCTAACCAGAATTACTATTAGCTATGCTAATTAAATGCTTTACATGTTAGAGAATTTACAGAAGGTATCTCTGACAATTAAGAAAACTCAGATTCTGAATTGCTTAATGCAGCATCTGGGATCACTGCCTCGAAACTGCAGCTGTGATTTTTTCTGTGCTGTGCATCTTGTTCTTCAGAGCAGCCTTGTCCCATGAAGCTGAGTACTAAAGGCCTTTCTTAAAATGGCAATTTGTTTTAATGTTTCTATGGTCAACTGTGTCTCTAATAAATACTCTCTTCTAAGATCAAAACATTTGAGTGCTGAAGAGGTAGGTATTAATGCTGACAATAAAAATAAGTCTGTAGTGTGTTAAGGTAACATGACTGCTTAAAGCCCCTTTCTAAATAAACTGATTTATATGCAAAGTTTAAGAGATGCAGATTGTCAGGGATTGCTGCTGAAGTGTTGAGGCATAAGCAGAAGAATAAATGCATTTTTTGAAAGCAGATTGACTTTTAAAATTATTGCAGTGTTCCCATTGATTTAAAATAATCTTAATAAGTGATATCTTACTGCAGGGCATTTACTTGAAGGGAATCAAATTAATTAAATAGATAATATCAGCAAATAATAGGGCTGTAAGTTTTTGGAAGGAGAGCTAAGAACTCATAAATATTTGTCCAAAGGCAATGGCATAGCCCAAGACAGACACTGAATTCCATCAGCAGAGAAGTGTTTCCATGAAGCTCTGGCTGTTGGTACCTGTGCCCTATCACGTAGCTCACAGAACACCTGTCCTAACATACCTATTTTTCACACATAGACACAATAAATGAAACCTAAGCTGAAGCCAGGGTTTTTTTTGCCACTGATGTTGGCATAGACCACGTTTCTGCTATTTTCTTTGCCTTCAGAAAGGGCTAAACATAGTCTCCTTTATGATGTTTCAATGCTGTTGGTTTTGAACTAAATGGGATACGCCTCCACAGACCTTATTTGGATGTCTCTGGAATATGAAATATTGGGTCACAGCTTGTTTAAAAAAATCCTGATAATGGCTTTGTTGACTTGAATTTGGTTATAATATCACAAAGAGTCAGCTAAGGTTACTGATGTACCAAAGTATTTAAATAGTGTTAGAATTTTGGCATAACTTAGGGAAAGGTTTTCCAAGTTACAGTTTTATTTTTAAATCATGTGATGTAGCACACACTACATTTTATCCTACAGTGCTACACAGCACAACTTCTACCTGTAACTTTTGGTTCCCTCTGGTTTGGTTACATCTGAAGCCATTGGAATGAAGTTTGTGGTTTGGTCTTTCCCCCCACCAAAGAGAGGCGAAATGAATTAGGAACATGTTAGAAGAGCTTGGAGCAGCTCCTTAATCCAGAATTCTATTTGGTTTAGATTATTTAATCCTTTAATTTCATATGAGGATTCTTTTTTTCTTTCTCTCTCTCTCCCACCCCAAGCCTTGTGACATTTCATGGTTGGTTTTTTTTTTTTGTTGTCTTTTTTTTTTTTAACAAAAAAGCCAGATAAAAAATAAAGTTCATGGTGAAAAACCTGTTTGTTTTTGCAGGTATACTCCATCCTCCCAGCTCCGTAGTCAAGAGGATGCAAAGGAATGGCTCCGGTCCCATTCAGCAGGAGGCCTGCAGGATACTGCTGCCAATTCTCCATTTTCATCTGGATCCAGCATAACATCACCCTCTGGAACCAGATTTAACTTCTCGCAGCTTGGTGAATAATTATCTGTTTGAATAATCACAGCAATGCATTGTGTGTCCTGAAAGCAGCATGTTGCACAAGATAATTTCCTTTCAGCAGCTCCAAGGCCCACATTGAACCTGTGGAAGCACTCTCACTGAAATGAGTGTGACTAATTAGCATTATTATCTCCTATGCCCAAAGGTGCCATTCTTGCAGTAACTTTGATTCTCTGGGACTAATCAGATTCTTTAATATAAACTGTGAGGTTTATAAAATGTTAAGTAGAGCTGTTGGTTGGTATCACCCATTGGGGTGCTTAGAGGACATATGATGTTGCCTGCAGATGTTGCAACATCTATAATCCTCTAAAATCCAAGCATTTTACATACTGTGTGTGCCAATCTCATCAGTTTGGTATTTTATCTTTGTCTTTTTCAAATGGCTCGTTGGAAAATTGCAGAAAGCTCAGTCAAGCAGTATATAAAAATCAGGGGAGTTTCAAGTCAGAAAAACTGCCATTCCTTCACCTAATGTCTTTGATAAACACATTTTAAATTAAGGAAACAATAAATGCTGATTGGCAGGATCCATGAAGCATTGCAGGTTCTAGTTGACTGTATCAGCAGTTGAAATAACCTGATTTAAAGTGCTAGTGGTGCTCATCTCTGTTGGGCTGCCTAAATATGACTTCATTGCTTGCAGTTTCTTCAGGTTTGTAAATTTCATCTTGAAGGAACTTTTGGAAAGAAAATACCTGTTTGTTTATGACTTTCCAAAGCCATATTTCATAATAATTAATATTGTTGTTTAAAATAAATATATTGTTTATAGTAACTAATTTTATAGATAATAATTATGTGCAAAATAGTTAAGCTTGCACTTGTGAACTCCTTATGGGAATTTGGAGCAGATTGCACAGTCACTTATTTCTAGTGTCGTTTTGAGTTGCAGTAATGACATTCTAGAGCCTTTCCTTGGGTGTTCTGGAAAGAAACACATTTCAATAAGTGGCTTTAAATAAACTGACACTTAGCAAAATTTCAGCTGAATTTACACACAGCATGGCTGCATTTCCAACAGCTAGCAAACTGTCAGGAAAATTCATGAAATTAAAAAAAAATAACCAAAAAGTGTTGTCATAAGCCCAGAAACTTAACTCTTTATGTACCATGTTGGAGATTATTTGTATTAGCTTCAAAAGCTCTTTGGCCACAAACTGCAATGAACACCAAAAAAAAAAAAAAAAAGAAAATATGTTTTCCTATGTTTTTAAGATGAGAGCTTAGAGATATTGGAAAGGTCGTTGGATTTAATTTAAGAGCAAATGATGATATGGAAGTCAAGAACCTGTGAACTGAATTATCCTGTTTTCTACAATAGTCTGTATCAGTTGGTGGTCTATGTAAAAACAGGCAAGGACAGCACACCAAGAGGAACCAGATGAGCAATGATTTTGTTCTCTCTTTTTCCCCACAAATGAACTAATTCTTAGTAAATAGCAGGCATAATTTTAGCACAAAAGCTCTTTTGGGAAATGTGAGATTACAGTACTTTTGTACTCTAAACACTGGCTGGAAGAATATTGGCGTTTAAGGCAAAATTAGTAATTTACAGTTCTCGGGACATCATAGCTGAAAGTTCTGAACTGTAATTATTAGGAAACTAAAGCTCTTTATATTTGTGACTAAAATACATAGAAAAATGTCATTTTCTTAGAACTCAAAGGTTTTGAAGAAGGTAAGTCCTGCTCTAGAGAGACAAAATACTACAATTTTTGTGGAAGAACAGTTCCAAATTAATTAATTAATTAATTAACTGATTAATGCATTAGTTTATGACAAGATAATTTTCTTTCATTCTCCCATGCCTGGGAGGTGTTAGTGAGGTGACTCAGCTTGTTTGTGGAATTACGGACACATGGACATTATGGACACACAGACAGTTTTTAAAATGACCTTAATTGACTTGAGTTTCCACATCCACTAGCCTTGTTTGCATACCCCTTACTTGAAAACCAATGGCGCCTGGAGAAGACAATACCAAAAATTTGTGTCTTAAAGTGGAGGGCGGGGGGGAAGCACCTTTGCTGGTGGAGGATGACAGAAGGAGAACAGGAGAGGCCGTGTTGGTGGCACTAAGGGTGTGTGTGGTGTTTGTGAGGGTCCCCAGGACGAGGGAAGAGATGAGAATTTTACTCCCATGTTCTCAGAAGGTTGATTTATTATTTTATGACATTATATTATATTAAAGAATGCTATACTAAAACTGTACTAAAGAAAGAGAAAGGATACATCAGAAGGTTTAACAAAAATGAATAATAAATGCTCATGACTGACTCAGAGAGTCTGACACAGCTGGACTGTGATTGGCCATTACTTAAAAACAATTCACATGTTTGGCTAAACAATCTCCAGCCCACATTCCAGAGCAGGCAAAAGATGGAGAGGCTGAGACTTCTCATCTTCCCAGGAGATGAAATCTTGGCAAAAGGGATTTTTTAGATAGCGTGACAGTGACAGTGTGTAGCCATGATATTTTCTGAAAAATCCCTTTGCCAGGATTTTTCTCCTGAAAAGCTGAGAGGCCTCAGGAACAAAATGTAAACGATAATTGTCTGCTGCTGGGTGCATCTGAGACAGAATAGAAATTCTCCAGAGTAGAAATCCATTTTGATTTAAGTGAAATGTACGTCTTTGAGTTGAGTCTATAATTTGAAAACATAGCTATTTAGGCTGACTGCAAAAGCCTAAGCTCAGAGAAACTGCTTCAGTGAAAGACATAGATAAGGGAGAGAGAGACAAAGAGTGATAAAGAGGGACAGACACTGCTGTAAGAGCAGGTCAACCTGACCTAGAAATTATTTCTGATAAAGAAGAACTAGCAGCAAATGTCATGCGAAATTAGTAAAAATGAATATGTATGAAACTATTGTGAAATTGTATGCATATGTATTTAAGAAGAAGATAAAATAAGACCTGACATCCCCAGAAGTACGCATGTCTTTTAAAGAAAGCAATCTCCACATGCGTCCAGCGCTGTAATAAACATACTGGCTTTACAACTTTCACAAAGTTGTAGAGTTTTGTTTATCTCCGCAAAACACATCTGTGATTAGTCTCATCTGATTGTTTCTAATTAATGGCCAACCACAGTCCAGCTGTCTCAGACTGTCTGGTCAGTCACAAGATTGCTTTCCCTTTCCTTCACCTTCCCTTTCCTTTCCCCTTTCCTTTCCCCTTTCCTTTCCCCTTTCCTTTCCCCTTTCCTTTCCCCTTTCCTTTCCCCTTTCCTTTCCCCTTTCCTTTCCCCTTTCCTTTCCCCTTTCCTTTCCCCTTTCCTTTCCCCTTTCCTTTCCCCTTTCCTTTCCCCTTTCCTTTCCCCTTTCCTTTCCCCTTTCCTTTCCCCTTTCCTTTCCCCTTTCCTTTCCCCTTTCCTTTCCCCTTCCCTTTCCCCTTTCCTTTCCCGCCTCCTGATGAAATCCTTTCTTCTATTCTTTTAGTATAGCTTTAATATATCATTCTCTTTTAATATAACATATATCATAAAATAACAAAATCAACCTTCTGAAACACGGGGTGAAGATTCCTCAAGACACTCGTTTCTTCCCATGTCGGGACTGCTTGCAAACCTCCGCGGCAACGCGCGTGTTTGTTGCTTGCTTTGCAGCGAGCCCCACGAGCGCGGCGCAGATGAGCCTGTCCAACCCCAGCATGCTGCGCACGCACAGCCTGTCCAACGCCGACGGCGCCTACGAGCCCTACGGCGACACGCGCCTCCGCAACAGCTCCGTGTCCCTGGACGACAAGAGCCGCACCATGAGCCGCTCCGGCTCCTTCCGCGACGGCTTCGAGGAGGGTCAGTGCGGGCCCGCGGGGCTGGGCGTGCTCACGGGGGCCGGGGTTTGGCTGCTTCTTCTGCTTCTTCTGCCACGGTCGCGGTTGAGGTGCTACAGACAGTGCTCCGTGTTCGCACTCAGGGCGTTCATTGTTTCTTGTCTGTGTTACAAGTCGTTGTCAAGAGCCAGGACATTGCTTTGGCTGCCCTGGGTGATTCGAGACCCTGGCAAAGAGCTCAAAAACCTTGGCATGGAGTCAAAGACACCAGTGCCTTCCATTTTAGCCCATGGAGAAAATTGCCAACTTTGTGTGAGGAGATACAAGCCGCAAGGGTTTGAGTAGAATGATAGTGAATTTATCACAGTGTGGAAAAGCAGAATTTTGGGGTTTTAGAATGGGAGTTCAAAGAGCAAGATGGAGGAATCTGGGTGTGTCCTGTCCTTCTTCTCCTTCTTCTTGTCCTCCATCTTCTGCTGTGATGGTGACACTTCTGGATTGGTTTAGAGTAGAGACAAACTGTCTAACATAGGTGATAGATATTGGAAAATTATTGTGAATAAAATACACATAGTCTGTAGTATAAAAAGCTGACACCACCCCAAGGGCAGGCACTGTGCCACAACCCGACCTGCTGGACAGATCTCAGCAGGTCAGAGAAGGAATGGAATAGAAAAGAAAAATAAACAGCCTTGAAAAACAAAACCAACTAATCTTGACTTCTTCAGTCACAAGGCTAAGAAAAAACAGACTTTTTAATACCTTGGGGTCACCTTGACCACAGAAACCCGAAAGTTGAGTTCTGTAGTGTTCTACTAACAACCTACAAAATGGCTATCTATCTTTCTGTACAAGGTCTTTTAAGGCTAACCTATCCAATTAAGAAATGACACCTAAATTATTTTCACTTTTAACCCAGTGACTAATCACTCAAAGGCTGCAATGTGGACTTTTCTGTGCAATTACAAAATACCACCCAAACCCAGGAAGAGGAAGGAATAAGAAGGTAAAGAAGAAGCTTCAGCCTCTGCCCTAAAACTTCCATCTTACTTTATATATATATTACCATATTCCAAAACCCCAAACTCTATGTTTTCCCACCCTATGATATTACACACTTCTAATCAACTACACACCTGTAATCCCAGTGCTATCAAACAATTTTTGAAGCCTTTTCCGTGGCCTCAGGTCAAATACAGTGCTCTCCTGGGAGTCAGAGTCTCTCAGCACAGAAAGTCTAAAATTCTCAGTGTCCAGAATTGCCAACACAGAGGGTGGCCTTTGCACAGGAACTGGGCCCTTCTGTGTTCAAGCACAGCTTTCTCAGTGTGGAGCTCTCAGTGGTAGCTAAAACCATAGTCCTGTTCGTGGCTGTTCTGATTGTAGAATCGGGGTGTTGGAAGAGACCCACTGGGATCATCAAATCCAACTCCTGGCCCTGCCCAGGGCACCCCAACAATCACCCCATGTGCCTGAGAGCGTTGTCCAAACACTTCTTAAACTCTGCCAGCCTTGCTGCTGTGACTGCTTCCCTGGGGAGCCTGTTCAGTGCCCAGTCACCCTTTGGGTGAGGAGCCTTTTCCTGATATCCAACCTGAACCTCCCTGACACAACTTCAGGACATTCCCTTGGGTCCTGTCACTGGTCACAGAGACAGATGTGAATGATGACAGAGAGAATGATGTTTTTTCAGTGATTGTGTTGGTCAGACACAGGAAATAAGTGTTGTTACCTAGACCTTGACTGTTCAAGAAATGGCTTAAACATAACCTGTGCTTAATTTTTTGTGCTCTCAGAAGGACTATTTCAAGCTTAGAGTCAGCACATCAGTGTTTCTTCACTAGGGGTATTCTGAACTTGCACTTCCACATTTCTGCTTATAGTATAGATAAGTGATATCAGTTGGACTGTTTCTATCCCAGTAATTTTTCCAGTATTTAAACTGTACTCAAATAGCCTTTGCTTTTCATTTCTGCTGAATGTCCTGGCTTGATACAACAGATATTCCAAGGGGCATTGAGTAGTTCTTTGAAACATCTAGGCTTGTCTGTTTAGTGCTGCATCATCTTTTCAAATATGTAACCACACCCAATAAAAAGAACCCATGTTAAAATAGTAAGAAAAAGCATTTACCTAGAAAGGAATATTTAGTTTGGTTGCTCCTGATCAGGCATCCTTGCAGCTGTAGGAGGAGCAGCTGTGAGCACACATTAAAATCCTCAAGCATTGCACTTTAAAAAGTCAAGCGTGGAGGGGTTCATAGGAAACATTTTCAACGTTAACTCTTTGAGTCTTAAATCTCCTTTCTGGCAAGGGTTGGGAGGATCTTGGTTGCACTTCACAAGCCTTTGATGGCTCTTTCCTGTGCTTCTGGAGACCTGCTCTTACTCAGCACTGTTAATACCAGTGCCCCATGGTTGTTGCTGCCCCAGAACCAGGCCTGCATGGGAGCGACACTTCAGTGCTTGCAGAAACCTTTCAGAGCTGCAAAGTGTCTTCCTGGAGATTCTGGTTATCCCATCATGGTTTTTTGCCATTGGAGAAGGTAGAGAATATGTATTGGATGTGTCTCTGGAAAGATTAATTAATTAATTGGTTATTGAATTTAGTCTGTCTAACTTCGCTACATTTTATTGTATTTTAGAGGTCTGTGGCTAAGGATTTTTATTAGGGGTTGAAAATTATTATAATAATGCTACAGGGCTAAAAGCTGGGTCATGGCAGGAATTAACCTTTGTTTGCTCTCAGAAAGCTGAATGATCAGAAACAGTCAAAGGCTGCCAGATGCTCAGTCAGTCAGTATAATCTGGGAAGGAATTTGAGTCTCTGTATCTGTGTTACACTTCAGTGATTTACCAGAAGAGCTACTGCAGCAAAATTTGCTTGGGTTTTATTGAAGGCATCCTCCAAAAAATGGTAGCCTTAGTCTTTTAACTGTGCTCAAGATTGCAGCAAGTCCATTTTGGCACATTGGAGGTTAAACTCTCTTGTAGTTCAGAAGTTCTTTTCCAGCAGAGAGCCTGGTTTGGATAAGCATTCAATAAGCATTGCATGTTTGAAGACAAACCATTAAAAAAAAAAAGAAGAAAAGGAAAATCTAAAAAACATAGGTGAAATGTTCTATGAAGTGCTTTTTATTAATTTGAAAAAAGTAATAAAAATGAAGTCCAAGAAATATCCACTAAGTTATGGACTTGCAAGTGGTTGGAAAATACCACTTTTGTATCTGAGGAACTAATTTGACCCTACAAGGGACATGCTGAAGATCCCTTTCAGATTTTCCTCAATTCTCAATTTTTCACACCTAAAAGGATAATAATATTTTACCATATGGATTGAATGTTTAGGTGTAGTCTCTGTATTTTTGTCTTCAGGAGAAAGGCCTTCCATCATTTCCCTGGCTGTAGAGAAGGCTTACTACTAAGCTAACCTGCTTATAGCTTCTGCTTATTTCTCAGGGTCTAAGTGGTTAAGTGTTTCTGAATATAGCAGAGGTTTGCCTTCACCTTGAGAGAATAGATTTAAAAGTATTAGAGAAATTTAAATTTGTGGTTAATGAACAAATTGATTTTATACAATCATCCAGTGTCAATGAAGCAAATCCAGGTCTTAAATGAAGCTTACCAACCTACATCTTAATTATTTCCTAGCACATAGTATTACAAGGCATTTGTTTCTCATTAACCTCAAAGCAGGGCCAGGATTTATTCTTTCAAGCCTTTTCTTCTCCTGTCTCTGGGTATGAAGTACAGTCATGTTCTCTCACAGCACAGCAGGTAGGTGGGGAGGTTGCTCAGCCTTGCAGTAACTCTTGTGACAGACAGGGCCAGCAGGAGCAGCCTCCAAACTCACCAGAACCTCCTGGGGAAAAAACACAGCATAAAAACTGAGTGCTCTCCTGGCTCTCCAGTTTCCCCACTTTTCCAGCCAACAGTCTTCCCCAGGAGCTGGGCTGCCACTGGCTCCACCCTGATACTTCAGCCTCCAAGAGAAAAGCAAAGTTAAATTCTTTATCGTTGGAATATAAATTGTTATTCCTTTTTGTGCCACTGACTGCAATACCAGTTTTTCTTTCTGCTCTCTGGGCAGATGGTCACAGCTAGAGCCTTTCTTTTCTAGCATTAAAAATGATACATGCTTGCCTGTGCATTTACAGTGCTTTAAAATAATAGCTCCAGACCAATTTGGGTTTGTGGGCTGCATGCAGTTGCATGCTGGCTGCAAGAAACAGGAATTGCATCAGGAGCATGACTGCCTTCAGGCTCCTAATTAAATAGCCTTCAAGTAGCCATCTGCAGATCCTTTAAAAAGAAATTGCACAAGTATATTAACTCCTCAGTTGTCCTTAAAATGAGAAATCTGAAATTATGTGCACGTTTCAAATGGTGCACGTGAGTCACCATTCCTGTGTCTGTGTGGTCCTTAGGGACATGGTTTACTGATGGCCTTGGCAGTGCTGGCTTCATCTTAGAGGTCTTTTCCAACCCAAATAAATCTGTGATTCTATGTGATGTTGGTGTTTCACAAGGCAGGAGTAGGATTCCCAGAGTTATATGTTCTTCCCCCTTTTTTTCTTATTTTGCATCTTCTCTCCTATATTAAAGTCCCAATGTGATCTTAAAAATTCCAGCTGATGCTAACTCTATGTTGTGTCTGACCAAGTCCATGATAAAGTTTCTGTTTCCTCTCTGGCCAGCTGGTAGGGCTCTTTTTTGGTTATATCTCTATAAGGAAAAAAATTCAACAAGGAAGAACATAGGGAAGCAGACCAGAAAATATATTATATTCCCTCTCTGAATTGCACATTTGTGGCCTTGTGCAATATTGCCTCACTTTGGACTTTCCATCTTAAAAATCTTAAGGGGAAAATGCAAGTAAAGAAAAGTGAGAAGGAGATCTTAAGCACAGAACATCTGTGATATAAAGTTAAAGTAGAAGTCTTCAGCGTGGAAAGTGATGGTTGAAGCAATGTGTGTAGAATTTTTGGTTGTTATGAAGAGATTGGTCATCCATTCCTTCTGTTAGCACAATGGCATGGAGGCACTCAAGGAACTTACTAATTCAGTAGCAGGTCTAAAACAGCTGCAAAGAATTATATTTCTGAACTCAAGAGAATTTTTCATTGCAGACAAAATGTGTCAGTGGATTCAGTGGCAGTTAAGGGAGTTAATGGTAGACAGGTCACAGCAGCCAAAATAATGGTCTGACTGCAGTTTCCACCCCTGGAATTTCCCTCTCTGCTGATTCCCAGAGGGTGCAAAGATGTACCTGGGGAATAATCACTGTGTATCTGTCTCCTCTTTTCATTCTTTTCAGCAAACATGGGCTGTGGTTGCAGCCAGGGCTGGAGCACACCATTAGACAGAGCCTGGCTCTGACTCACACCACTTATTTTATGTTCTTAGTGCAGGATAGTCCTTAATGTGTAACTAGAAAGATCATTTTAATTGAAAATATGATTACCCAGAGAAAGCAAATGGATGTGAGCGTTTTTGTTCACTTTCTTGTGGGTTTTCTAAATTATCTTAAATTCCTTCAGAAGCCAACTTAGACTTTGTTTACTTCTCTTTCCAGTATTGCCTTAGGATATAATGTCAGTGGGAAAGCAGAACCCATTTATTACAAATGTAGAATGGCTCTAGGTAATTAAAGCAAAATGGCAGCTTTTCTAAACTTTTTTTTTTTTTGCTGGAGGACTTAGAAGAAAGAAAAAATGATTTTATGCTATTTCATATGATTTGTGTTCAGTTACCTGAATTTTGAATGAAAGTTTCAGTTCAGTACTATTTGTTTCTAAAACTAAAAATAAGGGGAAAGTAATTTTGCATGTTTCAGTCACGGAAAGAATAGCTTCAGGTACTTTTTTCAATAGTGTAATAAAGAATGAAATGATGCTATATTTGTATGTAAATCCTGATGTAACAGGCATCAGGATGGCAACAGCCTTGAGAATCACAGAATAGTTAGGGTTGGAAGGAACCTCTGAAGATCATCTAGGTCATCAGTGTATATGTATGTCCTTTATTGAATTTAAATGCAAAAATTGCTTGAAACGAATCCTTTTCCAGAAAGTTTTGTAGCTATGTTTTCTCTGTTAATTTTTTATGAGAGAACAAACTTTGCCTTGTTAAAAAAACGTCCTCGCTTTAAAGAAACACCAAGAAACCCTGCAGAGAAAAGGAACATTGGGCTCATTGATGCACTGATGCAGCTCCCTTAAGTCAGCAGAAGGAAGACACAGCTGCATTTAGAGGAGAATTCACAGCCCCAGAATTAGACAATGTTTTTTTTTTTTTCCTTGGGTCCTCCACGTCTTCTCCTGGAGCATCTGGTTACACACTGGAGCTGGGAGTTGTGGTTTCCTCAGGACATTCCCATCTTGGTCTGTTGCTTAAAAAAAACCAACAAACCTCAGTCTCACCTAAAACTAAAGAAAAAATACTTAGATTTAATTTTGTAATCTCTTCTGCATTTCTTGGGGTTTTTTTAGTCTTGAGTAAGCCCTTTTGCAAGAATTTTAATATAAACTATCCAGAGAAATATTTATATCTGAACAGACCTTCGTCAAAACTTTTGTAAAGTTTTGGCCACACCTAATTTCCCCAAAAAAAACAAGTATTATGAGAATTTTGAAACAGCTTTACCAAATCCAAGGTTATGGATTGTATCAGCTGACAATGCATGCTTCAAACCATACATTATTGGTACAATAATATAATTAAGTTTATGATGGATGGTGAAATTTGTGAAAGTATTTCTGCAGCAGATGGGTTGTTTACAGGGGATGATTTATGGTGATTCCACCCTGTGGTTAGTGCACTTAAATTCATTGTGTTTATTTTCTTTCTTTTAGTGCATGGTTCTTCTCTCTCTTTGGTGTCCAGTACATCATCTATTTATTCCACAGTGAGTAGAATGAAATGAAGTGTGTATTTATTGATCAAAATTATTGAATTGGCTGGTCTTGCTGTGCTAGTTTTGCCATTCAAGGAGCAGGAAAAAAGCAGTTTTCATTTGACTGTGTTCTGAATGCTAGCTAGGAAAAGGAATGTTTATGTTCTTGAAGATGCCTGTGGATATTTAGCACATTAAACACAGACTTCAATGGCCTAAAAGCAGCCACTGATTTTTGGAATCTGTGTTTTATGCCATGCTAGGGAGGTTTTGCTACAAAGCACCTTAGTAGATATGAGGAGATTTTAACTTTGTTACTTACAGCATCCCAAAATTTGCTAAATAAAGTCATCCCATCCTTATATTAATGATTTACTACTAAAGCAGTTCACTTTTCAATGCACAAATGTTAATAATTCTAAAAAAGGTAATTTAGTCACTGTGCCAGTAACATTTTCCCCACAAGTATGTATTCATTTTGGTTATCTGATCCTAAAATAAAGCTTGCTGGAGTTTGAAAACAGCAGGGGAGCACTCAGAGCTTCAGGTTCCTGTGCTTGCTGCAATAGAGTGTTGGGATGGGTGTAATTTTCCTGGTGGCTGGAAGTGGGCATGTTTTCTTAGAAACAGTGGAGTGTGTGACTTCCTACCCCATGCTTGTCCTTAGCTGATAGCTGTGGTTAGAAACAGGCCATAGCAGCCACACTTCTGTCATGCTGACCACAGTGGATGCTCAGAACATCCACTTGGCATCCTCACAGCTGGCTGTGTGTGCCCACTTTTTCATTGCCACAGTGCCTTGGCAGCACCCAAATGGGAGGAATTTTTAATTTTTAAATTTTTTTTTTTTTTCACATCACTTTAGAATGCAAAAATGCGACCTCCTTCCCATGGAGAGCTGAGTGTGGGATGAAGGGAATTGCCCAGGATCAGCCAAGTACTGTGGCAGTCCTGGTTCCTCAGAGCCTCCTGCAGTCCCTTGTGGACAGAGCCAGGAGTTCTCACTCTTCCATGACTGACATCAGAGGTGCACTGGTCAGCAGGCTGAGGTGGAGCCCAAATTCCTTCCTGCAGAAGGAAGTACCTCCAGCAGCCTATTTTCTTTTTACTTGAGAGTAAATAAATTAGGAGGCTAAATTAGACTGAATATGGATGAGGGAATCCAAAATAGGGAGTTCATATTAGAATTCTTGAAATACAAAAAGATAATTTCCATAAATGTGGAGTTCATATTAGAATTCTTGAAATACAAAAAGATAATTTGCATCAATGTGTCAGGCTGGTTATGTTGCAATATCCTCACATAATTCCTTTTATTTTACAGCCTGAAGAGAAGTGCCAGTCAGAGGTAAGAGCACATCCTCTTTGACAAGCAGAAGTGCCACTGTGCATTCTCTGTGCTGCTGTTTTATTTCTCCTTGCTGTGATGCACTGAAGTGCTCTCTTGAAACCCTCAGATTCGCAAGCTGCGGAGAGAATTGGATGCATCCCAAGAAAAAGTGTCAGCTCTGACAACTCAGCTGACTGCTAATGTGAGTACAGCTCTGAGGGCAAACATTAACCTGGAATGCATCTAATGCAACAATTACCACCCAGGTCCTTGAAGTGACAAAAAGATTTCATGTATATAGCATTCAGTTTGTATTACTGATGTGTTTAAAGAAATAACTGTATTTCTTGACATGTCCAAAAATAGCATCCTCTGCCCTACTAAATGATATAAATTATCTTACAGTTTTCTTTAAAAACTGAGTTATAATAAGAAGAATTTGGCTTTGTAGCTGTATAAGCCATCTTAGGGTCCTGAGAAGATCATGGAGGACAGGATCTTTTTTTTAAAAACAGTGTCTTGCTTTGACATTTGGGTAGGATGAGATACAGATAAAGATTTTAATTGGTAGGAATAAAAGTTAATAGAAACTTGGACTGAAATTCACTATGTTTTTCTGTTGCATAAAGATGTGGCATGATAAATAATACTGGTATAAGGGGCTTTGGGAACTGATTTAAAGTTAAGCCTGAAGAACTGAGAAACCTGATTTTTTGTCAGTGTAGACAATACTTCTGCTTGTTCCTTTCAGGAATTTGAGGGATAAGTAATTTAAGACACTCAGGGAAAGAAAAATACTTGGAATCCAGGAGGTGTTGAGGCAATACTGTATGACCCTGAGCAAGTTTATTTGTGTGTTCTGTGCTGCAGTCACAGATAGCAGGAGCCTGCAACACAGAAGCTTGCAAGGAAAATAAGCAATCCTAGAGTAAATAAGCTGGAGATGAATAGCAGATCAGATCATCCTGACATCCTGGTTTATGGGAATGAATAAACATCAGAACTTGTGCTGCTTGAGGGGGGTTTCCCTGTCCATCAGCTCTGGGAACTGGGGGAGTGCAAAGCTTGGGACAGGAAAGGACAGGTTCACCTGAGCAGCATCACAGGAAAGATTCAAGGGGAAATCTGTGCTGTCCACTCCAGGCACCACAGTGCTTCATCCAGCTTGAAAATGGGGCCAGAAAACTAAGAACACAGTTACTACAGGGAAGTCAAATAAAAGGGCTTTGGCTGAATGAAACCACTTAGTTACTGTCCCAAGAGAAAAAGAAAACAGTTTCAACATCTTTCAAAAGTTAAATCTTATCTTTGCCTTTCAAATACAAAGGGGATGGATACAGGAATTGGTTTTACCCCAGAAGATTCTTTGACTTGTGGGAAAGCAGGACCAGATTTTCTTGCATGGGTTTTTAATGATGTTGTTAAATAACCCAGCTTGTGTCCTTCAAACAAAGACCTTGTCAGCTGAGCAGCTCATTTGGCTCTGCTGTGGCTTTATTGCATTCTCCTTCCCACAGTTCAGGGTCACTGGGCTGGTGCTCAGCACAGGCTGCTCACTGCCTGGCCCAGCTGCTCTTCATCTGCCCAAGAATTTCTCTGTGGTTACTACCACTCTCTTTGTGGAGAACAGTTTTTAGTGTGCACTCCTGTATGGTTTTGTTTAGATTGGGGTCATTTGGGTTTTTGTGGGCTTTTCTTGTGGGCTTTTCTCAAAAAAAAAAAAACAAACCCAAAAAAAACAAAGCATATAATTTATTATTTTGATAATATTCCATTTTTGCTTAGTTCACTTTGCTAAAATCTTACAGTGTTTTATTCATGCTATTTAAACTTCTTAGACTTGAGCCTGCCCCTGATCTTCCTGATCTGTCCATAAATTGGCAACAAAGATGTTGCTATAACTCTCCCACTATTAAATTTCGGTCTTTAGCCACTTCTTTCCAGAGAACATCCTTTTTCCATGTAAAAGGCAGGGTCTGTTCCCAAAAAGATTGAGACTAATAAATGCTGTTAGTTAAGACACTTGGACATTTCCTTTATTCATGATTCCTTTTAAAAAAGGCAATTAAAACTTCAACAATTTAAATGAATCTCTTCAGTTAACAGGTTTTTTCCTGAATTTCCTTGCATAGACACTGCAGTTGTTGATGCTTCTCAAGCTATCAAGGGCATGAATTTGAAAACATTTTGCTCCCTCTATAGAAAATGAAGATTACATTTTTTTTCTTAGCTCACTGAATGATTTCAAGATAGGAATAATTGCAAGATCCAGTTTTGAAAGAGCAACTGGTTTTTAAGGCTCAGGTCAAAAGCATTAAGAGTTTGTATCTGTTACTAATCCATGCACTCCTGTTTGCCCATTTATTTTTTGCTTTTGAAAAGTATTGCTGAGGATCCCTGAATATCAGCTTTGTTGTTCCCTGCTCATCCTCCCCAACAGAAGCTGTGCACTCTGTGTTTTTAAAATAAATATTTAGATTTTCCTACATGTGTAGTGTTAGGTTTTGAATTACTTTTTGCCATTTTCTCACAGTCTCAGCTCTGCTTATTTTCATAGGGGCTGATGGGAATGAGAGCTGCACATCCCCATGTTATTGTACTGCTCATGTTTGTTTTCATTGTGAATGTGAGAACAGTTATTTAGGATAAGTCAACTGTGTGCTGCTGCTGAATGAGTCTGTGAAAGGTTTTGCTATTCTGTATTTTTTAGGTGAGAAAATATCTTTTTCTGCTTGGAAAGATTTCACCATTTGACTTGTCATTGTGCACGTAGAATTATTTTTAATAAATAAATGAAGCTATTTTTTTAATGGTTAGTGTAGATTATTATGGCTAATGAGACAAATACATATTGAAATACACCTGTGATCAGTTATGTATACATATGAACACCTAGAAAACAGTGCCATGTCATGGCTGTAGAAATACAGTTTCTTACATTCTTTTCCATCTTCCCAATCTACTTTTCCTTCCTTTTGCTTCTCAGTGATTTTCAATTCCTAGCTGATGTCTTTCATGTAATGGACACTGTGTTCTCCATGCTTCTTGGGAGAAGAATGTAGAATCTTTTTCTCAGGAAGCACTTTTTTTTTTTTTCTTTCCTTGGGAAAAGAAAAGAGGGTAATTGGCCAAGCAGCAGGAATTTTGGATTATGTGTAGCAAGCTGACCTTGGCTGGAAGCGAGGTGCACTCAAATAGGGGAGAAGTCTTGGAGTTAGATGCAGGTGCATCATTCTAACAAAGCATCTGCTCTCTTGGTGGGATAAACACAGGGAGAACCTCCACCCCTGTGACTGCCAACATCTTTTTGCCTTGCTTATCCACAAAGGAAAGTACTGATTTAGTTGGAGGGAAATTTCTGCCTTACTCTTCTCTATACGAAAACTTGATTTATGTTTTATTGTTGGCAAGCATTTCCATAATGTGTGCTCTACTCATTTGACCTTTTCTAGGCAGTGTTGTTTTCTCTGCACCATTTACACAACAAACAATGCCATGCACTGGGTGGACTGATTAAATACCTGCAGAAATACTCCTTTTTGGGGGAAGAGAACTGACTCCTCCTGTGTGGTTTGATTTCAGGCTCACCTGGTGGCAGCGTTTGAGCAGAGCCTGGGGAACATGACAATCCGACTGCAGAGCCTGACCATGACAGCAGAGCAAAAGGCAAGCTTCAAAAGCATTTGGAAGTCTTCACTTCTGTTCCCAGCATTGTTGCCCCTGCTCCTTCTGTAGTTGTGTGGGGGAAAAAGTCACAAGTCAATTTGACTTAGCTCCCTCATTTGTGGTGACAGAGTAAAATGTAAAAAATAATTTGTATAAAACACTAATTTTCTGCACTGGGATTTTGTGGCAACTGATCAGGTTATTCCTATTGATTGTTGCATATTTCTGTAATATATTTCATCCCAATGCATCCATACATGGGCATGTTTGAAAGAAACACCAAGAAGAATACTTACAAGACTGGCAGCATTGTGTTTTTTGGACAGTATGCTTGAATAGACATTATTTCTGCATTACAGAATACATGCATTTTTTTGGTATCATAATACCTAAGCTGTTTTGCACCCTGTTGAGGGTGTGCTTCCCCAGGTATCCCAAACCTCATTTTCACCTCCTTGTACATATATATTCCATAAAATCACTATGAACTATCAAAACTTAGATGGAAAAGCAGCTTCTTTGGTGTTCTTCTCCTGTGTACTATCATATGTTTTTTTCCCCTTATTCAAGGACTCAGAACTGAATGAGTTAAGGAAGACAATTGAACTCCTGAAGAAACAAAATGCTGCTGCTCAGGCTGCCATCAATGGAGTGATCAACACACCTGAGCTGAACTGCAAAGGTGAGAGACAAGCACCACATACACAGACTCCAGGGCTCTCCAGTGAGACCTCAGTCCTCTGGGTAACAGCTGATGTAACCATCAGGGTGGCTCAGAGACCAGAGTAACCCACTTATTTACACTGTGATAAATTGCTGAAGGAAAAGTTTGAAGCATCTCCGATTTTAATCTTGTCACAAGAAACAAGGATTTGAAATCCACAATCCATCCATTGGGATAAGGGCTTGCCAGAGTGCTGGTTTCCCAAAATGTAGCTTCAGGATTGCATTATTAATGCCATTCATCACATTTCCTAGCTAATTTTGACACTGCCTGCATTGATATCCAGGTCCTGGAAAAGTTTGAAGCATCTCTGATTTTAATTTCGTCACAAGAAACAAGGATTTGAAATCCGCAATCCATCCATTGGGATAAGGGCTTGCCAGAGTGCCGGTTTCCCAAAATCTAGCTTCAGGATTGCATTATTAATGCCATTCATCACATTTCCTAGCTAATTTTGACACTGCCTGCATTGATATCCAGGTCCTGAAAAAGTTTGAAGCATCTCTGATTTTAATCTTGTTACAAGAAACAAGGATTTGAAATCCACAATCCATCCATTGGGATAAGGGCTTGCCAGAGTGCTGGTTTCCCAAAATGTATCTTCAGAATTGCATTTTTAATGCCATTCATCCAATTTCCTAGCTAATTTTGACACTGCCTGCATTGATATCCAGGTCCCGGAGCTGCCCAGCCCGCGGACCTGCGGATCCGGAGGCAGCACTCCTCAGACAGTGTCTCCAGCATCAACAGTGCCACCAGCCACTCCAGCGTGGGCAGCAACATCGACAGTGACTCCAAGAAAAAGAAGAGGAAGAACTGGGTGAGTATGTTGTAGGAGACTGTGTGAGGTTTTTGTGAAATTGTCAGGACATGCACGGTGTGACCGTATTCACAGGGGTCACAGGAAGAGGGAAGAGATGAGGATCTGACTCCATGTTTCAGAAAGCTTGATTTATTATTTTTTGATCTATATTATATTAAAACTATACTAAAAGAATAGAAGAAAGGATTTTATCAGAAGGCTGGCTAAGAATAGAAAAAGAAAGAATGATAACAAAGGCTTGTGGCTCAGACAGAGAGTCCGAGCCAGCCAGATGGTGATTGGCCATTAATTAGAAACAACCACATGGGCCAATCACAGAGCCACCTGTTGCATTCCACAGCAGCAGATAACCATTATTTACATTTTGTTCCTGAGGCCTCTCAGCTTCTCAGGAGAAAAAAATCCCAAGGAAAGGATTTTTTATAAAAGATGTCTGGTGAAATGCAGCTCCTTCCTGCCTCGTGCAGCAGGTTAGCACAAGGACTGTGCACTCCTTAAATCATGGTAAACTCTCCTGTGAAGGCTTAACTGAGTTGTAAGTGATGTATATCCTTGTGCTGACTCTGCATAGGATTGAATTTTAGCTTGACAGCTGTCAAAGATCAGGTCTGGCTAATAGGGTGTCCAGTCCCTTTAGGAAAATGTGACATCTGTCATTAAAGGAAAACAAGCTCACAAGAGAAGATCATTCTTGTGGGTTTTCTTTTGTTTTTATCTTGTAGGGCTTTCTTATAAGTGAACATATTAAACAGTTTAGGAACTCTTTGTCCAGAATTAACTTGGACTGCTAAGAATAATATAAAAAATACTGATCTTTGAAAATTTTTCGTGATGGACATCTCTTTTGGAAGTTTTTGCATTACTTACCTGTCCTTTCCCGTTTTTCCCTCTTTGCTCATCATGTACTATGTACAAGGTACCCTGTACTGGAGGAAAGGTACATTATCTTCAACTCCATTTCCAATTACACCATAACTTCCTTAGTGACCTAGTCTGATTGTAGTTTGGACTGAAGTCCCTAGATCCTTTATTGTAGTCAGTACAACAATCCACCCCTTTCTTCCCACTGAATTTAAATCTCCCTGTATCTCTTGGGTGTACAGATAAATCTGTAGAGATGCAAAATGTGGTTAGAGCTGGTAAAAGCTATCTGCTCAGTAGTCTCTCAGAAATGTTGATGAAACTCCTGAACTGTAAGAAAGAGCTTCCTGAACAAGTTCTTATTTTTGTTTCTCTCTTATCTCAGAGGTTTCATTGCGGTATCTCTTGGTATTGCCAGCTGTTTCATAAAAGAAGCATTTCCACTCTGCCCCTTAAATAATTGGTAGAATGGAAATAGCATCTTGTCCAAATCCTTCTTGTACTGTAAGTTAGTATATAGACAAAGTAAATTGCTGTAACTTTTAAATTTCTAGCAACCCTTAGTTTGTGACACAAAACTATTGTAGTCATTGAGTCTTGGTTAAGATAAACACTTTTTAAAATTCTTGTTTAGCTTCTATTTTTTGTTACTGTAACCTGGTGGATATGGTCTTACATCAGGCCCACATTTCTCACTCATCAGATAACTATTTTTGAAGAAGATTAAGGGAACATTTTTTTATTATAAAGTTAAATAAATAAAGTTTTCATGAAGCAGAAGAAACAGGACAGTATTTTTATGTTGTTATTAAAAATGAGTGCATCATTGCTGTGAAATGAAGGTTGGAAATTAAAACACTACAACGAAGAATATGGGAGTTGAATCTGATTCACACATTCTTTATTCCACCAGTGCTGAAGAAGTTCTCAGCCAAGGTCTTTGTGTTCTGTGTAGAAGCAATGCAGATGTCCATTCAGAGCTGAAACATCAGAGTTTCAACATTTCTCATTGTAGGAGTCTTTGTCTAGCTTAAAAAAACTGGTTTTAGCTCATACTAAGCCAGCCTGTGTACGTATGCAATTTTTACAGTGGCATTAAAAGGTGTACATGGAGTATCCTGAGTGAGAGGGGAGCCATGGGGATCATCAAGTCCAGACCTTGATTCCATGGGGGTTTCACTTTTAGGGCTCCATAAAAGTGAAGCTATATATCTAAGAACATTGTCCAAATGCTTCTTGAGCACTGCCTGTTGAATTGTAACTTTGGGGTTGCAGCAGTTTATAATGACTTGAGTATTAATTCTTGTTTGGAAAATGCCAGTCACATTACTAAGGGTTGTTTTAGTCGCAGGTAGGTAGAGAATTTGCAGTTTTTTCACATGGTGAAATACCTGTTCCTGCAAGGAAAAATACATTATTAACTTGGCTCTTAGCCAAAGCACTCTGCCTGAGCTAAGTAGAAAATGTAATTTAAATAGTTAAAGAGTTTGGATCTGGTGTCTTCCTCAGGTAATGTAAAACAGTGGCTGTATGTGGTTTGAGACACCTGGTCTTGGAAAATACAGGGTTCTGGTTTTAAAGTAACTGTTTGTCTTTGTTAATCATTGGTCGTGTTTGTCTCAGAAATCCAAAACTTCCCTTATCAGTGGCTTTATCTGTTAAAACATGTCTTTTTTCCTTCCCCCACTTCCTTTTGCTTGCACTTCTTCCGGCAGGTCAATGAGGTAAGGAGGACCTTCTTTAAACTCGGCAGCTAACCCCCCATTGACACCACTAACCCTTCCAGCACCATTAACCTGGCCTGGGCCCTGTGCCAGCACAGCTGCAAGCTGTCACCCTGCTGCTGGAAAGCTTGTTGCACTCAGCAGAGTTTGCTGTCATATAGCTCTTAAAAAATAGGAAGCATCCATAGCCACTCCTATTGACCTTATTAATCTGATAAAATAGTTACGGAAAAAAAAAGCTTTTTTTTTTTTTTTAATTTTTTTTTTCACCCATGTTACTGTGTATGTGAGTATGGCTGTAGCATCTGGAGTATTTGCATGTTGAGAGTTTTTACTCTGTGGCTTTTTTTGCCTGGTTTCACTCTTAATGATGGATGTGCTGCTGTGGTCTTTTGTTTTTTTCCCAGTTACGCAGCTCCTTCAAGCAAGCTTTTGGGAAAAAGAAATCTCCCAAGTCAGCATCTTCTCATTCAGACATTGAGGAGATGACTGATTCTTCCTTACCTTCCTCACCAAAGCTACCACACCACAACACCACTGTTTCAACACCACTGCTGAGAGCTTCCCATTCCAATTCCCTGTAAGTGATTTTTGTAATTTTTAGACAGAAAATGGCATGAAAGGCATCTTGCTGCATTGGTAGAGGAAAGGCAGAGGACAGAAATGCTGAATTCATGTATTCAAAGATTTAAAGATGCTTGAGCTGACTCCCAACTCAGTACCTTTCCATTGGTGTCCGGGAAGCCAAAAATCATTGCGTCAGTACCGAAGTGTAAATATTTCATTGGGTTGCTCTCTCAGCAGAATGTACTGAGTATCAAGAATATTTATAACCAGGATGACCTTGAGGTGCCAAATTAATTGGATCTCTTGCTGTTAATTAAACAAACCAGGTCAAATCTGGGATCTTGTTTCTCTTGTCTAAACACAGCACATACTGTATTCATCTGCTGTGATAAGTTCCAAATTCTATTGACAAATACAGATAAAGGAAAGGAATTCGAACACTGTGGGTTAGTGATACAGATGAACTCATCTAACTCCATCCTCCAGCCTGGTGGATGGAGATGATCCACTCCTCTTTCCTTCTGTAGCTTCCCAGCCACCTGTGCCTGGTCCTTTCCATGGCCACCTGTGAAATAAAGTTTAACAATTCCCTTGCCAGGCTGTTTTCAGTCTGAACTCACATTTTAGAATGTACGTGGAAAATTTAGTGAAACGGCTTTTATGTTAATTTCATCAGTAGCTTTGTCACTTGAGCAGGTTAAATAAATACAGAAAGCTGTAACAGGCAGTGTTGTGAAACCTGTAATTAGCAGACAGCCTCCTGACCTTGGGAGGTGGTGCAGAGCTTCCAGCCTGATTCCAGAACAAATGGATTGGAGTAGTTCCCCTCCACTTGTTTTCACATGAAGGAGTGAAAACAATAGCAATAGTTTCCAGCTGTATAACAGTGATGAAATGTCAGTAGCAGAAGATAATCCCCCCATGATTTTTGTTTCAAAGCTTCTTCTGTCTCTTGAGCCTAACTCAGTGTGTTTCTGGTGGCTACAGCAAGTTGTGCCTTACAGCTCTCAGGCCAGAAAATTGTCAAATGATGATCCCATCTGTCATCAGCCAAAATGCTGTGTGGGTACATCTCACCTTGCTATGGAAGCCAAAAGGATAAACACGAACAAAGAGTAAATATGTGAACTGGGGAAAGGATAGAGCACAAGTAAAACTGGTGTGTCTTGGCTTACTGGCTTTTTGGTGGGGAAAACATCTCTCATGAAACTGATTTAGGGAGAGACATGTTAGGTAAAATTGCCCCTAAAGCGTGCAGCTGTGTGGTTGATCTTTATACAGATACAGTTACAAATGTGCTGAAATGTTGTTACTCACTCAGGTTTGGTTTTGTTGTTTTGTTTTTTTTTGTGGGTGGAGGGAAGGAAAATGCCACCAAAAATTTTTTAAGCATAAGTTCTTTAAAGCGAGCAGGAATTCATCATGCTTGAATAGGTGTAGAGTTCCAACACCCTCCAGAGCAGTTCAGGGAAACCCAGCTGTGCACACCTGGTGAGCTTTAAATCTGTCTGTGAACTCATCAATCTCCAACCAACTGCTGTTAAATGCCTGCACCCCCTTAATTTATTTAGATTTTGGCTTTAGAAGTTTTCCTTTATAGCAACTACCATAAAAAAATGAAGACTATCCAATAGTAGGTGATTTCAGAGAATTCTCTTTCAGATGCTGATTAAAAAATTAACCCTCAGACATCTTTATTTCATCAGACTCTAAAATTTCCATGGCCTGTTTAATATCTGACTTAATTCAATAAGCCAAAACTGCTACCTGCTTCAAGCAGAATAAAAAGAATAACTCCTCTGCTGCTAACAAATCCTGGAGAAGCAGCAGCAGCAGCAGCAGAGGAAGGAGTGTGTGTTTGTTGGTGTCGCGCAGCATTTCGGAGTGCACGGACAGCGAGGCCGAGACGGTGCTGCAGCTGCGCAACGAGCTGCGGGACAAGGAGATGAAGCTGACAGACATCCGCCTGGAGGCCCTCAGCTCTGCCCACCAGCTGGACCAGCTGCGCGAGGCCATGAACAGGATGCAGGTGAGGAGCAGCCCCCCACACCCTGCAGCCTGTGCCAGGGTCAGACCTTCATTAAAAGTCAGCTTGAACGCCTGACATCGCTGCCCTCGGCTGCGGCTGTTTCAGCCCCAGGACAGGATTTTGGGGGACAGCATTTTGTTGGCTGTCAAAATCACAGAATCACAGAATGATGAGGTTGGAAGAGACCTCTAAGATCATCGAGTCCAACCTGTGCCCTAACACCTCAACCAGACTGTAGCACCAAGTGCCATGTCCAGTCTTTTTAAACACACCCAGAGATGGTGATTCTACCACCTCCCTGGGAAGAGCATTCCAGTGCTTTATTATTCTTTTGGTGAGAAATTTTTTCCTGATATCCAACCTGTGCCTTCCCTGATGTAGCTTGAGACTGTGTCCTCTGGTTCTGTCAGAGACCAACCCCCCCTGTCTGCAGCCTCCCTTCAGGAAGGTGTAGAGAGCAATAAGGTCACCCCTGAGTCTCCTCTTCTCCAGGCTAAAAAACCCCAGCTCCTTCAAACCTTCCTCACAGGGTTTGTGTTCCCAGCCCCTCAGCAGCCTTGTTGCCTCCTCTGGATGTGCTCGAGCATCTCAACATCCTTCCCAAACTGAGGGCCCAGAACTGGGCACAGCACTCCAGGTGTGCCCTCAGCAGTGCTGAGCACAGGGACAGAATGACCTCCCTGCTCCTGCTGGCCACACCTAATACAGGCCAGGATGTTTCCATGCTCTCTGCCCTAAGGTCGTTGCATTTCAGTGTTAGTTAATTCCCACATACTGAGGTATTTTAGGATACTTTGAAAAGTTTCACAGAACAGACATTTTAATAATTAAAACACGATGGAAACAGCATTTCTGCTAAACTGCCATTTATTCTTAATTTTCTTACGTTGCTGTCTTATAATCATGTTTTCACTGTGCTTTCTAACGTCTGACTTGTCTCTTGCAGAGCGAGATTGAAAAGTTAAAAGCAGAGAACGATCGGCTGAAGTCTGAAAACCACGGCAGCTGCAGCAGGGCTCAGTCTCAGGTTTCCATCTCCTCCTCTCCCAGACACTCCGTGGGTCTCTCTCAACACAGCCTGAACCTCACGGAGTCAACCAGTCTCGGTGAGCTGAATGACAAGGGTGCTGGGACAGGTTTTATCCTGCACTTGGAAGGCTTTTTATCCTGCACTTGGAAAAATGAGAGCGTGAGGATTATTAACAGCTGAGGTGTGGAAATATGTCACGAGCTGGCACGGAGCCCTCTTTTAAATATCATCGTAGGTCTGCTACACCCTCGGTCAGAGGTGTCCAATTATGACCTCAGCTCTGAAAAGTCCTGTTTAAAGCCATTTAATGGTGCACATTTCCCAGGGGATATATCATAGGAAGGAAAATCCAGAGTAACTGGCTAATCATTTTCAATGACCTTCCCTTTTTGAGAGGGCTGTGTGGCGGGGAAGTCAGTCAGCCTGGGTCTCGTGTTTTACCTCGGGGCGTGTGAAGCCCAGACATGTTGTGTTTGCAATAAACCAGCATAGTCCCCATTGTAACTGAGCTCCAGCTGTGAGGCTGTTGATGTTTCCTGTCCACAGACATGCTCTTGGATGACACTGGAGATGGCTCTGCCCGGAAGGAAGGAGGCAGGCACGTCAAAATAGTCGTCAACTTCCAGGACGAGGTGAAATGGAAGGAGGTGAGTTGTGTTTCATCCCCAGCTTTGAAATGTAGGTGGCTTCAGAATGTGTGAGGGAATTCAAGTTTGCAAAGAACTTGCAAGGTTTTTCTCAGGAAAATGGTTCATTTGTGTGTTGATAGTGATAGAGAGGGCACTTGGCTACCTGCAGCTTCCTTGGAGCTGCTGAGAGGGACCAAAATGCCATAAGCACCAATCTTATGGAAGAAATTGACAAATCCAAACTGGGAGATCTGTACCATATCATTCTAGTTTAAGTTGTCCCCTCTGGCACAAGTACCCTGTTTAGAATGACATCTTTCAGATGTTTTCCATCCACAAGTACGTGAAAGAGGCCTAAATACCCAAATAAATTGCAAATAATGTAAAGTTGCATCCTATCTTGTGTGTTTAACGTGCTTGAATGCATTACACAGTCCTTGACAAGCAATGGCCTTGCTATCTCACATTTTTGAGCAGCTGTAAAAGTGTGTTTAATAAGTAACTTCGTGTCTTCCTGAGGGATGGGCAAAAATCTGAATGATCAGAAATAAAATGGACTCAGCTGCTCTTTCCATTAAATACCTATTTTGCATTAATTATTACAACCCTGGATAAATAGTAAAACTGCTGTTGGTTGACTGCAATCACAGCAAGTTTTTAGTAACACTTCAAATCTTATGATAGAAATTAGTTTTCTCTTCAATTAATGTTTCACAGTGAGTGTAGCTGTAGAAAAACAGAAAAATTATAATTATTCTGATTTCTTTTACCTGCCTTAAAAATCACTTTAAAAATGCAAAATTCTGTGATACATAAAATATAGAATATAAATATAAAGTCTCTTTCTATATTACTAGAGCCATGTATACATTAGAGCCATGTATAGTTTATCTATATATATAGATTTCTGTGTCCGCAGCAGAATTTCTGAAAATAAATAGGATAAACCTAGCAAAAGTAACATCTTTGATTGTGAAGCCATGGAAGAATGAACTTGGCATCTACTTTTCTGTCTAGAATATTCCTAAGAGATTTTCTGTCTCTTTGCTAAACTGTAATTGTTCATGAATTGATTAATAAATACCTTTTACTTAACATCACAGCCACCTGAGTATTGTTTAGATTTGTGACTCCAACACTGTAGAAAATGTTTATCATGTGAAAAGAATTCCATATTCCATTCAGAATTCACCATACAGAGCAGTAAGGATACACCATCATTTAGAAGTAAAAGGGGAGGGGGCAGGGAAGCCAGCATTTTAATTCCATTAACCACACTTGTCTGATAGAGTTATTCCTGTGCCTTTAGGATTCCAGGCCTCGCTCCTTCCTCATAGGCTGCATTGGAGTCAGTGGGAAGACCAAGTGGGATGTCCTGGATGGGGTTGTGAGGCGCCTGTTCAAGGTCAGTGGGTACAAAATCTCTCAGCTCCAGGGGCTTCTGGTGGTGCCAGGCTGTGCTGAACTTTGTGCATTAATAGGGTGCAGAAGGATCCAAACTTGTCCAATAGGAGGGGTTAGGGGAAAGTGACCTATGGGGTTTCAGAGATAAGCTAAGGTCCAAGAGGCAGAAGACAGGGGCTTATTTTGCTGTCTCATCATGACCCAGCAATACCTACCCTTAAGTCTCAGCCCTTCACGGAGTCTTAGTCAATTCTGTGGGGTCTGCTACACCTGACCTCCTGTGTCCCTTTCCCACCCCAGGAGTACATCATCCACGTGGATCCCTTGAGCCAGCTGGGGCTGAACTCAGACAGTGTTCTGGGCTACAGCATCGGGGAAATCAGGCGCACCAGCAGCGCCGAGACCCCCGAGCTGCTGCCCTGTGGCTACCTGGTGGGAGAAAACAACACCATCTCAGTTACCATCAAAGGTAAGCTCACCTGACCTGCCTGCTGGAGTTCTCACTGTTGAGGTTTATCAGAACTTGCTGTGTCAAGGAGCTCAGAGGAGTAGAGACTTTTTATTGAGCTGCTTGTTCCTGTTCCTACCGTTTATTTACTTCCCGCTGTTTTCGTTTGATAAAGTCAGCACTTGGGGCATGCTAAGTCTGTAATTTCAGCAAGTTTTCAACCTGTAACTCTAGGGAAAGGTACACACTCCACAGATCTTCAGTTGTCCTGGAGGAGACCTCATATCACAAAGGATGCAGTGGAGCTGTTTGAGCAGCAAAGTGCTTTCCAAATGAGTCAAGCCTCAAAATTTCATTGGCTCTTTATCACAGCTATAGTTGTTATTTCCTTCATGTAGGGGTTAAAAAAAAAATAGATCTTGACTCATTTGCTTGATTGGTCCCTCCTTAAGTCCCTCAGGAAGGAGGGAGCCCAAATTTTATGAAACTCTGTAAAATGTGGATTTCTCAAAATGTATGGTTTTCAGAATTCCCATCAATTTTATTCTGTAAGACTGATAAAAATTTAGTATTTGTGTTTCTCGTTTCGTTTCTCAGGGAAAAACTTTTTTGTGAAAACTATGCTATGAAACTAAGTTCAGGGGTAAAACTCTCAACTGCTGCATTTTGAACATATATCAGTTTGCTCAAAGTTAGACCTGTGAAATCTGCAGACAGATGGTATTTGAGAGCAGTGCCAAACATTCTGCAGATCAACTTGGAAATTTGACTGAAAGCAGATTTTTGAATATTGATATAAGAACCAGGTTACCTTGTATAGCAAAGCAGTGGGCAGGAAGACAAAATAAACTGTGAAATACATCAACTTACTGAGGCTTGACATGAACCCAGGATATTCTACTTATATAAAATGCCTTGTCCAGTCATAAATCCTAACTGAAATATTGCATAAGGTCTAACTGTGTCTGTAAGGCTGCAGTTTGAGTTTACATTTAACTTGCACTGACTCGACATGTGCCTTGAAGGTTCACAAGTGATAACAGTTTTCAATAAAATAGAAATGTATTTAATCAATTTGTGGAAAATCACTGACATATACCTTTGAGATATAAAGCTGCCTATATAAATATTTAATATTCCAAGTAACCACTGAGGTGCAAACATTTCTCTGGGTGATCTGCCAACTTCCCTTCCTGCTGTTTATTTTGAAGCACTGTGTATTTTCCCTAAGCCAATTCTGCCTAAAGTGACTGCTGACATGGCATAAATGCTTATCAGTACGAGTTTTCTGTTAAAGGAGATAACTATCAGCATACAGAGGAGGAGTTTAATTACAAGCATTTGGGAAAGTAGGGGGAGTTGATGATAGCTGGGGGTTTTTTTTGTCTGATGATCCAAAAGTAAACAGGTACATTCGGGGTGAATGCGTGGTGAAATGCTGTAAAATGGATGGCTTGTGCATGAAAAGTGTAGCCTGGAATCTTTTGGTGTGGCAGCTTCCAAAGGGCCTCAGGGATGCAGCTGAAGACTTAAACAGGTTGGAGGAGGATCCAGGCTAGGGCCATGGGTCACCCCTGCACTTGTTTTCCACTTTATGTGTGTGACCGTGTTCACAGGGGTCTGAGGATGAGGGAAGAGACGAGGATCTGACTCCATGTTTCAGAAGGCTTGATTTATTATTTTATGATATATATTATATTAAAACTATACTAAAAGAAAAGAAGAAAGGATTTCATAAGAAGGCTGGCTAAGAATAGAAAAAGAATGAATGATAACAAAGGCTTTGTGTCTCGGACAGAGAGTCCGAGCCAGGTGACTGTGATTGGCCATTAATTAGAAACAACCAACATGGGCCAATCACAGATCCACCAGTTGCATTCCACAGCAGCAGATAATCAATGTTTACATTTTGTTTCTGAGGCCTCTCAGCTTCTCAGGAGAAAAAAATCCTAAGGAAAGGATTTTTCATAAAACATGTCTGTGACATACGTGTGCCTCTCTCAACCGTGAGGGATACTGGGCTGGGGAAGGTGTTGAGCTCTGAAGTGAAGAGCAGCTTGCTCAGGTCCATTTGGCTAAGAACTGGAAATGCCCCTGACAGAGGCTGTTTCCCTGCTGCAGGTGTCTGTGAGAACAGCCTGGACGGGCTGGTGTTCGAGTCGCTGATCCCCAAGGCCATCCTGCAGCGCTACGTGTCCCTGCTGATGGAGCACAGGAGGATCATCCTGTCGGGCCCCAGTGGCACGGGCAAAACCTACCTGGCCAACAGGCTGTCTGAGTACATGGTGCTCAGGGAGGGCAGGGAGCTGGCTGAGGGCATCATCGCCACCTTCAACGTGGACCACAAATCCAGCAAGGTGAGCGCGCGCAAACCCTCCCGCACCGCCCACCGTGAGAGACCTTTCCCAGCCGGGCATTTTGAACTCAGCTTCACTCTCAAAGCATTATGTTTATCCTGAAGGAAACAATACTCAAAGGTTTTCAGATTCACTTGATTATGGGTCTGGAACAGCAGGCTTCCAGGTGTGTATTTAAACACCTAAAGGTGTTGTGATTTTCAAGTGTTTAGGAGCCTGAGAATTGCCCAGGAAGTTAAACACCTGCATAAAATTCCCAGAGACTTAAGCAATCCTTATTGCATGTGGGCATTTTTCCCAAAACCCTCAAATGCATCTCCAGGCTGTCAGGAGCTTCTGCAGCTGCAGGTATCAGCATTGTAATCGTGTGCTGGGTTTGGAGGGGCTGTTGTGCAGACACATTCCTGGGCAGGTAAGGCGTGTCTTTGCTTTTTTATGTGCTGCTGGTTTTGATGAATGTACTTCCAGTGATCATCTAGATTAAAGAAAAGGAAAAAAAAAAAAAAAATCTGTGTATTTGATGGCCTTAGGCATATTTTCCTCTGGAGGAAAGGGATGGTTGGAATTGTGGTTGTAAGCCACTGGTATGATTTCAGACATGCTTTAAAGCTGCTGAGAGCATTTCAACCACTCATCAGCAGCACCAAAAGCTCATCCTTCATTCCAGCATTGCTGAAGGCATCCAAATTTGGCCTGTGATAAGGGATGGTTTGTTCCAGATTAATTTTGTCATCTGTATTTTGATGGAAAAACAGTTGCAAGATGATACAACAAATCTAGCTGGAATGCAGAGTTTGGTTTAGTATGGGGAGAGTTGATCCAGTTCCTGAAAAGACACAAAAATCCATTTCAGACCTCTTAGGTCTGACATTGATGAATAAAAAGCACAAGCTAAATTACAAAATATTACCCCTCTTTAAGCCCTTATCTCACACAGGATTTCTGGCACAGTCTCTGGGTCTTCAGCATTACCTGCAAAAGAGAAAGAAAACCATATCTTGTGTTTTCTCATAGAAAATGAGAAATTGTTAATGAGAAATGTGACTTGTTAGATGTCAGACTCTTTTGCTTTAGATTTTGTTACCAAGCTTATTTATCTTAATTGATTTTTTAAGAAATGTGAAGGAAAAAAAAATATTTTTTGCTTCTTTTCTTTATATCTGCTTTGCAGGAACTCCGCCAGTACCTGTCCAACCTGGCAGACCAGTGCAACAGTGAAAATAATGCTGTGGATATGCCTCTTGTCATCATTTTGGATAATTTGCACCATGTTAGCTCCCTAGGAGAGATCTTTAATGGACTCCTAAACTGCAAGTACCACAAATGGTAAAGAAATAGTATCAAAACACATTGCAAATGTTAATCCTGTACTCAGAGCACCGCTCCTGCAAAATCCAGTCACACAAAAACAAAGTCTGCATTAATTTAGTAATGTAGAGGAAGATGACCAGGTTGTCCATATTGTGGACAGTGCTTCAGTGCTTTTTTCTTTCATAGAATAATCTATTTTTCTGAAATAAGTAATTTAAAACTAGTTGTATTTGCTTCATGATGTAGATCATTAGTAGTAAAGCCCCGTTTGTAGTGGAAGGTCCTGTTTTGGGACTTCTGGTTTGCTTCCAGAATTTGATGTTCACAGAATCTCAGTAGAGAATTTGGTGATAAGTAACTACAAAACCTTCTTTGACAAAAGAGTTTTGAATGACCTTTTTTAATGTTCAGGTTTTACTTAAAACTTGCTTTTCAAAGTTCACAAGTTTGATTTGCTCGATTTTTTTTCTCCCAATAGTCCGTATATTATTGGAACAATGAACCAAGCCACCTCCTCCACACCTAATCTTCAACTTCACCATAATTTCAGGTACTGTTTATTCATGTCTCTCATTTATGTTTGTGGGCTGGCAGAGGAGTAATGGCTACTGAGTCATTTGCAATTGTTCTTATCAGCTGAAATAGCAAAGTGAGAGTGAAATGCCATTTGTTCCTCGTTGCTGCCCTGACATGCTCAGCTTAGTTATGGTGTTGTCATTAAAGGAACTGGGTTCATAAAACTTTTATTTTATAGAGGATTGTTAAGATATTTGATTTTCTACCAGATTTTCAGTAAGACAATATTTAGGCAAAGCAGATTATTGAGAAATGAGCTGAAACAATGCACAAGAAAAATTGGCTCATCTAGTGAAATATTCCAAAGTAACCTTTGCTGAAAAACACGTGTGACTGGAATAGCCCATTTTGATCCTGATAATCTGGAAATAAGAAGAGAAACGTAGTCAGGAATAGTTACCCTCAGTAGCACAGAAAAGAAATAAAGTCCATTTCTGCTGTTGTGCCATAGATGGGTGCTGTGTGCAAACCACACTGAGCCAGTCAAAGGCTTTCTCGGCCGCTTCCTGAGAAGAAAACTGATTGAAACAGAGATCAGTGGCAGGATGAGGAATGCAGAGCTGGTTAAGATTATTGATTGGATTCCCAAGGTCTGGCAACATCTGAACAAATTCTTGGAGGCTCACAGCTCCTCTGATGTTACTATTGGTAAGTGCTCTGCCCAGGCATATATAAATATATGTATTTTATTTCCTTGTGTACTTCCTTGTGCTGTGTCACATAAAAAAGACTTTCCTTAAAACCCTCTTTTTAGATGTCGTCACCTTTTTTTTGATGCTTACTGTGCTTGTGATTTGAGTGTAATATCTGAATTTCCCTCTCCAGGTCCACGGCTCTTCCTTTCGTGTCCAATAGATGTAGATGGTTCTAGAGTTTGGTTCACTGACTTGTGGAACTACTCCATCATTCCATATCTTCTGGAGGCAGTAAGGGAAGGGCTACAGGTGAGCAGGCACAGGGAAAAATCATAGGTCTAGAATGGCATCTGTTCAAAAGGCAACAAAACTCAGTGGTGGCAACATTTTCTGTAGATACAACCTCACATGTCTATGAAAATGTAACCAGAGTTGTCAATAATTTCAGGCAGAATTAGTCTCTTCAAGCACTTTTGAAGTAGAGAGGGGAAGAAGTGATTAGATGCCAAACTGCTGATGTTTGCAGTAGGGGGAGTTAGACGTACAAATACTTTTCAATATTGAGTTCCAAATGCAGACCTTGAAATTATCCTGTGCATCAGAGAAATAGGCTTGTCATCATTAACTGTGTTACACAGGATTTTCCTCTGGAAATCAAATCTTTCAGCATAGGAACAAAGCTTTGCATGGATGGAATGTATACATGAGTGACAGGAGCAGTACCAGTGACATTTTGAAAACTTCTCAGTATTTAAGATTATTTTTTAGTAGATTCCTTCATAATTCTTTCAGAGGATGGAGTGAAATCATCATTGATTGTGACTCAATTACTAAACACAGACAATCTGGCAATTTAGAATGGTTTTTGGTGTCCCTATGACTATGAGATTTGTTGGAATCAGGAGGAGGGTTCAGCAGAGAATTGCTATGGACTTGCCATTTAGGTAGGAGAAAAAAAGAGGTTTCTTAATAATCAGCTCTTTGTTCACAGAATAAGCCCAGCAGCACCTACTTTAAAATATGGTTTAGAACTAATCTTTTACTAATGGCTTCTTTAAAAATTGTGAAATACGTGAATTCTCCAAGTTTTGGGTACAATTTGGGCAGCTGCCATTTGAAATTTGCCAGTACTTGCAGACCTCATTCTTTTTGGGAATTAGTCTACAATTGTGTAGACTATTAGCCATAAGGAAAACAATAGGTCCTGGAGTACAAAACACACTCAGGAACTTTGCTAGAAATAGAACAAGAGAACCATTTTACATGCAACTTGTTTTAAAGGAAGGTAATGGGAACCAGGAATCTTTCCAACCTAAAACAAGAGAAAGGAGAGCAGGTGATTTTGCTTGCTCTTGAAATGGAGAGAACTGATACTCACAGTAATGATGGGCTCCTTCTACTGGGTTTTGGAGCTCTCATATCATTGATCAGTACGTGTAGAAAGCATTGGAAAATTAGTAAAGGAAGTGGAGAGAGGGTAATTGATAAAACCATCCTTTTGCTTCCTTGTTCTGCCCAGTATCTCCATCTTTCCAGGTGTGAGGACTTCAGTTTCTCACTGTGCTTTAGATTCTCTATACCCTTCAGCCCCATTTCCCCCAATTGCACTAATTCATCCCTATTTAAATAATTTCTCTTTTGTTTGGTTGATGGATAAGAAGATGCACTTTAGTACTTGAGGAGTAGCCAGAGTGGTGCTAATGAACAAGCTAATGCTAGAAAGGTGGGTTTCATCTGGGGCAGTTTTCTCTCCCTCACACCCACAAAGACTCCTCTGAGAGCACATCTCCTTTCCTGAAATTGCCTTCCAGAAAGGAAAGGTGGGCTCCTAATTCTGCTCTGATCTCTGTGGTTCTGCTGTCAGCTATTTTTACATTTCTGTTTCTCATTTAGAGAATTATTTTGGGTCAAATGCAAACAAACCAAATGAATCCTTACAATAATTGCTCCCACGGGAGCTGGCTTGTTTTGTTCTTCGAAACAGGGATGTGGAAATTAGAAGGTTGTATAAAACCCAAGTTCTTCCTGCTTGGTGTATCAGTACAGAAAGCAGCACCAGCAAAAAGAGGACACAGAGTCCCTGTGGCTTCCTGCCACTGTCACTCATACTCCAGTGATTTTTCTTTCATGCTTTGTGGAGCAACCTGTTGCATCCTTGTCCCATGACTTGCTCCCTGGAAAATGTGCCAGTGGGAGGGGTGGGCAGACCTGGTTGCCATGGTTGGTGAGTCATTTAATCCCTCCTGAGCTCAGATCCACTCAGAGTTTTGCAGGAGAAAAGGTGCGAAAAATACAAAATCCTCACCACTTAATGATACAAATGACATGTATCATTGTAAGTTTGAGAGTAAGGTTAAAATAGGAAATGCAGCTGGGAAGATCAAGTAGCAGGGCTGAAGGATGAAGGGTCTGTTTCAGATTGCCTAGCACCATCTGCTGGAGCCTCTGCTCCTCCTGCCTCACAGCACTTCAATGCTTTGTGCATGCAGAATCTAAACCCACAAAAAACATACCATGGAGAAATAGTATTGAGGAGAGTGAGATATTCCTAGATCCATCAGAGAGCTGGTGAATGTCTTTGCTAGCCCGTTGTTTGTACAGAAAGGGGACAGTGACAAAATGTCAGAGACAAGCACCAGTTGCTGAAGGATGTTGATGGTGATATTTATAAAGTGGAAATAAATGTTTTAAAGCCACTTCTATTTATGCTTTTGGAAGTCATGAAGCATTCAAATGGATGTTAAGACAAATGAATAGCTAAGACAAATAAAATAGAACAGGGAGGATACATTGGGATTATTCACTAGTGCAGTCTGTTCCATCCAGAAAAATGTTTTTGAAGCAGAGTTTGCCTACTTAGGAACCTGAGCATGGACAAATGCTGCCGGTGCTTTTTCTTGGTTGAACACAAAAAAAATCTGATGGAAAACTTTATGCCTTGACATTCATCATTCTTGCCTGATGACAGATCTCACGTTTCCTCCTCCACATTCCATGCATGGCAGTTTGTAAGGCAGCTGCCAGTGCAATCCAGATGTCAGCACTGATGGCTTCTTTTGTGTGCTGACGTTGTTTCAGTTGACTTAATTAGGTGATGTTATTTTCAGGCATTTCTTCCTTCAGCTGGTGCCAAGGGAAGGGCACTGCAGTCTTGGAGAAGGTGGTCAGCTCCTTCCAAATCAGTGCCATGACAAAGGGCTTTGTGTGTGTGTGTTTAGGGCAAGGAAACTCTCCCATTCAGTCCTGCTTGCAAAGTGTTTCCTGCAGCACAAGAGCCGTGGCACATTCATTTTGGTTAGGTAGGCAGTGGCTGAGATGGTCGGAATGTTTGACATGGCTTTGTGCTCTTTCAGTTGTATGGGAGGAGAGCGCCCTGGGAGGATCCTGCCAAGTGGGTGATGGACACCTACCCCTGGGCAGCCAGCCCCCAGCACCACGAGTGGCCTCCCCTGCTCCAGCTGAGGCCTGAGGACGTGGGCTTCGATGGCTACTCCGTGTCCCGGGAAGGCTCCACCAGCAAACAAGTTCCAGTGAGTGATGCTGAAGGAGATCCTCTGGTAAGCTCCCAAACTCTTCCATTTGCCTTGTTCCTAGGGAAATCCCAGTAAATCACTGTCAGTACCTCTGTTCTGAGTCTCAGTGTTGTTGCCCCTGCTCCTTCCTCCCTTTCCTTCCTTGCCCACTGGCAAAGCCAACGCCGCTGTAGTTGTCATGTGGAGTTAATGTTGCTCCTACCCCAAAAATACAAATAATCATGAACTTCCTTGGCTCTGCAGATGAACATGCTAATGAGACTCCAGGAGGCAGCCAACTACTCCAGTCCCCAGAGTTATGACAGCGACTCCAACAGCAACAGCCATCACGATGACATCCTGGATTCCTCTCTGGAGTCCACGTTGTGATCTCCCTCAGACAGAAGCTGTTTCCTCTTGGCAAGAGCCCTGATCACAGACTGATGAAAAGAACACCTTCCTGGGCTGGGATCTCAGTATTAAGAGCTGCAAGAACAAGACACTTGGAGCAATCTTGAACCTGGGTGCAGGCAACCCAAGTGACCTTTTTATTGTTTTTCTTTTGACAATGATGAGAACTGCACTACTCCTTTGTTTCCTTCTTTTTAGTTGCTGTAAGCTCTCATGCCTAAGATCCTGAAGATGTTAAAAATAATCATCATTACCAAGTTGAAGGGACTGGGGTGAGGGGCAGTTTCACAGCTGTGAAGCAAGCAGCTTTGTGCCATGTACTGTCTGGAAAGAGAGGGGAGAGGGAATATTTGCCTATGCTGCTTCTGACCAAACACATTCACGTGAGGGCTGGACTTTTACCAGTCAGCTTTGTGGGTTAAACTCAGCTTCATATAGTTCTGGTGCTATAACAATATCTATAACTTGCCTCCTAATAATACTCAATGAAGGCAAAGCTGCAAAACAGGGAAGTTTGAATAAATATTAAAAAAAAGAGAAAAGGAAAAAAAAAAGCTAAAACAAAAAGCGCTGCTCTCCTTGCCAGTCTGAGACCTTGGTTTTCTTTCATTGTGTGTTTATAAAGATTATATATATAAATAGGAATATATAAAAATATGTATACAGTCTGAACAAATCAGGTTTTTTTTCAAACACTGTGTAGCAATCAATCCTGCTACAAATGAAAAATCAGGTAGCCTTTTGCTAGTCAGGGCCCAATTCTCTTCCCACTTACATCCACACCACCAGCTGGGCTGACTTCTGTGGTGTTTACACCCCACTGATCCACCCTGAGGAGAGGGGGCTTCCCTCCTTCACAGAAGTCAGTGGCAGGGCTGTGCCCCATGGAGTCCTGCAGCTCCAGAGGACCCTTGGCAGTGCACGGGCATGGTGAGCTCTGTACACAGAGGTGAGCTGCACCCCTGCAAAGGGATGAGTCAGACTTTCAGGTTTTAATTCTTGCCATGAAATGTGACAGCTGTTTTTAGAAAACTTCGGCTTTTGTTCAGAGGTTTCATTCCAATCAGCACAACCATAACGGGGTTAATTAAAATTCAGCTCTGTGGCAGTTCCAGTGCTACTCTGGTGATAATACTTCCATGAATTTTCTTTTTAATTGCAAAGTTTAAAAAAAATAAAAATAAAAAAATAGCATTTCAGCAGTATTCAGGTCTGGGAAAAAAAAAAAAAAAAGATAAGGTACTGAGTACTGTGTCCTTTGAGTTTAGCTGTGCCATGCTCTTGAGCTGTGGCAGAGCTGTGAACCTGCTTTGGTTTCTCCTCCTCTGTGAACGCACACACCTACACGATCAGTGTTCAGGCTTGTACCTGTGCTGGGGAGCAAGAACACCTCCCAAAGAGCTGCACTTTCCTGGTGACACCATCCCCCCCAGCACATCAGCTGTACCTCAGCCAACACCTCACTCCTCAGGAGGGATCTGTACGAGCCTTTCCAGCTCTCCTCTGGTGCTGACTTTTAAAAGCGATGCCTTATTTTGTACTAATTGTGTTTGATTAAATTAGTGCTGTACATTATGGGATTTTATTTAAAGAAACAGGGCTAAAGTCATCTCTTGAAATATCATAAGTTGCTGTGAATATTGTTTGTATGAGATACTAGAATTTGTTTAAATGTGACAGAAAAAGGAGGGAAATGAGATAACGTTTCAGGTTCATATCAATCCCCAGCTAATAAATCACTGAAGAGCTGTTTTATCCATGCAGAAGGGACAAAGAAGCTTTTCAACTCTAATAAATTACAGGAATATGCTGGTTTTTCAATGTACAGAAAGAAATCTTACTGCAAACACTTTCTCAATAGCTTGTGGGTTTAAAGGACCATAACAAACAAGTTCATGCTTCTGTGGCTCAGCTTGAGAGGATGGTTTTATTATACCTCATGACTTTCTGTAATATAACTGTACTTTGTCTTACTAAGCTGGTCTTGAATCTGCTCCTGTTACAACTTCTAAGTGCTGATGACTTTTTTTTTTTTTAAAGAAAAATATTGTAAAAGGAAAAATTTAAATATTTTAATGATGGGGGGAAGAGCTTGGTGTTGTTACTGTTTTAACCTTATGAACTCTGATTTCATTATTTCACTGAATGGAATAACAAAGGTTACTCCATTAAATTAAAGCCAATTTTCCTAATCCAGTTCTTGGTACTGTAAAAAAATGGGTTAGATCTGTATGGAATCAAATCCATAGCATGCTGATGATGAGTTTGAGAGAAGTTAATTTTTCCAGTAGTCTTGACAATTCTGCTTCCCAGCACTGACTTTACCTGCTACTACTGTGAATTTTGGTACCTAATCCCCCAACTGAATCCATGCAGACAGAGCGTGTGCCTGTAAAAAAAAAAATCCAGTTGCAGGGCTAGGGCTTTAAATGGACTTAATATCCTAGAAAATGTCTTGGTTGACCTTTAACTGAGTGCTAAAAGACATGTTTAAAGTAGTGTTTTATTTGTGGGGAACGGGGTATTTTTTTTTTCTCATGTTTAATCCTGTGCTTAAGCTCAGGAAGAAATTTCTATTATGTCTTCTTTTTTTATTGACACTAGCTTGGCTTAAAGTGAGAGAGGCAATTTTGAATAGGCTAGTCATTCTGAGCATCACAATATTCCATGTCTTTTCTGAAACTTCGGGAAGCAGGGTTACCTGTTGTGCACACGTCTTAGTTTTTATCAAGACTTTTCATAGATTAAGTCTTTCTTTAGGTGACTTTCTTCTCATTTAAGGCTTTTTCAAAACACTTCCTTTTTTTTCTTTTTTTTTCCCTTCCTTTTTTCTCCTCCTTACAAAGTTGGCTTGTTTAAAAAAAAAATGTCAACAAGAAATGCAAGATTCTATGCAACATTCGTGTTGAGTTATAAATTGAGAGAATAAACCATTTTCTTTCCTTCAGAACTGCCAAGAATGATACAGGCCATAAATGAGATGTGATTTATTTGGGGAAGGGGAGGGAGGGGGTTGGTTAGCCTTTTTGTACATTTTGAAAGAAGCAAACTTGATATTTCATTGTTGATGCTTAACTTCGATATTATGTGTATGAAATCTTGTCTAAATGTGGCAATTTTCTTTCAAGAAAAAAATAATATACAAAAACAAAGCAAAAAAATCTTTGTTGATATTAAATGGAAGGTTGCTGTTTTGATCTAGTCGTTTCCAGTGGAACAGTTTATGAAATATGTTCTATAAGATGTACATTTTTTCATTGTAACATAGAAATGTAAATATTTGATTAAAAGTGCTGCATTTTGATGAATTTTTTCTAGCCATTTTTAAAGAGAAAACTAGGAATTGAGTATTTTGTGTACGTTTATGATGTTTTCCATTTGCTCCTCTCCCTATTTAATTTTCAGTTCTCATTTAGGATTGGAATTTGTGAATGGTCTGTTTGAGATCATGCCTCCCCTTTCTCACTCTCCCTGTTTCTACCCCTTCCCCACCCCGTGTCATGGAGAATAAAGCTGATGATTGTACCAGTCTTAAATTATTCATGATTCAATAAAATTAATGCTTATTTATTCAGATTTGTGGCTCCCCAGAACTTTTTGTCCCTTCCCAGTCGCCATTTTATAATTTTTTCATTTGCAGATCATGGGGTTCGCTCCTTTGGTTTTGTTGGCTTTATTAAGTGCTGGTGAGGAGGTGCCAACAGCCCTCACCTGTCCATCCAGTCTAGCCTGGAATGTTCCCAGGGGCATCTCCCACCCCTCTGGACAACCTTCACATTCCACACAGTATTCCCATTTTCTCTTCACCCATTTGATAGAGACATTATGGTTATACAGGAATGAATATGTGGGAAACTATTATCCTCCTGACAAATAAATACTCTGACTAAAAAAAAAAAAAAAAAAGTAAAAGTTCTCTATTCAAAAAGGATAAATGCAAAGACCTCTGCACTTAAAATCCAGGGAGTTTGGGTTGTTTTTCCTGGAGACTTAGTGCTTCATATTTCTTTTTTGACAGTTTGAATGATTAATGTTGGTAGGACAGGTTCATGTGTAGAAAATTTCAAAGAAAATAGAGAAGCTCTGCTGAAAACTGATGATTGTTTGTTCAATCCAAAAGTGACTCTTAATGGTCTTTGGTAATGTGGGCATTGTCTGTCCCCCACAGCAGTTTCCCAGGCAGAATTGCCTTGGACATGCTCAAGCACATTTTTCTGTGTTCTGTAAGCTTCCTTTGATTCACAGAAGTGCATGTCCTAGACTTGGTCCTGGAAAAGGCTTCAGCCATGATCCTGGACAAATTTTGAATCCATACTGGACTGCCAAAATTTTTATTATCTTTCAGGAATTCTTCCTTTCCTTTTTTGGCTGCCCTCTCCCTTTCCTGCATTATTCTTTTCTCTGCTCTATGCACACTGTCTTATCTTGTCTACACTTATCTTTTCTTTACCTCATCTTCTCTTTAACCTTTATTTTCCTACTTTTTTTTGTTTCCAACATCCCGTTTCATTTTATGTCCTTCCTGGATGCATCTCATCATTTCTCATTGCCATAGGATCAGTGCTGACCTCCTTCCTTTCTGCAGTGGAAATGGGAAATTCTCTGGAGTCCTTCTATAAACTCAGCCTCCGGCCTGTGAGATGTATTGACACCTCTCTCATTCCTCTGCCCTTTTCCACTGCTACTCACTCTGGAGTGGTCCCCTCAAGAACCAGAGAGGAAATTGCTCCTGGTACCCTGCAGGCTCCCATCCTGCATCCCTCACTTTCTGTCCCTTTCACCAGGATTCTGACTCTGAGCTCTGTGGTGACCAATGTGGATGTTTAATCTGGGCTTCTGGGGGTTAGAGCAGAGCACAGCAGCTGAGGACAGCTTCTAAATCCTTCCCCATCATCATCAGCTTAGTTGGTTTAGCCACACACAGAAATCCATGGTCCTATCTCCTTCCTCAATCATAGGATGGTTTGGGCTGGAAAGGACCTTTAAAGGTCCTCTTGTCCAACCCCCTGCAATGAGCTGGGACATTTTCTGTGAGAGCAGCTTGCTCAGTCACAGGTATGTCTGATTTGCTCAGAGCCTGTTTGAGAAATGTTACAGGGGATGGAGACCATGCTCTGGCTAAATATGGAAAATTTCTCCTCCAGGAAGTT